CTTTCCTTTGTTTTCAAGTAGTCCCTCCATTCTTTTATGATTAAAAGGACATTAAGGACATTTGAACCTCTAAACATTTGATTCAAATAGTATCCTCTCTTCAAGAGACATTTCTTTGATAATGGCTGTATAACACTTTAACAGTAGGTGGTGCTGTGAATGCACGAAAGTAAATTTGTATAGACCGAAAGAACTGTCACAGCTTTATTTTGTGACTCATTACAACATAGAAATATGCCTTTTTAATACTTCTTATAAAGTTATTGACAATACATATTTTTTTCTTTTTTTCCTTTTAATGAAAATGATTTAACTTAGAAATGTATTGTGAAACCTCTGTCTGGTTTTGCAATTCTCAGGTATTCCAGTGCAAAAATAGATCCCATTACAGATAGCATAAAGTGCTTGGAATGAAGGGCCAATGATAAAGAAGGGCCAAAGATAAAGAGGAAAGCACAAAAAGGGGCTTCATCATAGGCTGTAAGAAGGGACAACAACATAACTAATCCTTATGGAATATAAACATTCTATAAAAAAAGAGATGCAACAATTTTGAAAAGAATTAGAATAATATTACTATAGTATTACATTACTAGTAAATAGTAACAAGAGTACAAATTAATATCTCAGTATCAAAGTGGTTCAGTATTACATGACACATGGCTCTTTGGAAAATTTTTTACCTGATATATACAACCACAAGAAGAAAACATGTACAAATCCCTTTAGTCAATGATTAATATACAGTGAATGAATGATGTGCAACATTTAATAGTCACAACACATATGTTTTCAGTACAGATACTGAAGTACAGTAGTTTGAGGTTTGGTTGTTTTTTGTTTTGTTTTTTAACAATGAATTATGCTGGGCATTTATATAGAGAGGGCTTGTTACTTTCTTTTGTATTTTTCAAATTCACAGTTGTTAGTAAGATTCCCAAAGTGCCCAAAAGATGCAAAAGCAGAAATCTTTGAACAGTTCTTTTGAGAATTTCTGAAATTTCCATAAGTACATATCCACAGTGACTATCTAAAATTTTTATTAGATTGAACATAGAGATGGTAAAAAAAAATTCTACCACAATTAGTTTTACACAGGAAAATTTAAAAGATTACTATTTGAATAGTCTAAAAGGTAATGACTCAACTTTAACAAAGTATGTCTATAACTAGATATTTCTAGCTTCAGAAGAGATCACTTTAAATCTATATTAAAATGTTGTATTTTTTCCAAAATATTCACAGTGCCTTTTCTTTTTTTTAAATGTGGTTTTGAAGTCACAGAGTAATTGAAGAAAGGAGATGCTCATGGACTTAATGTAATGAGAAACTGGAACATGATTATAGTGAAACAGGAAAACCAACAAAAATTTGATTTTGAAAAATATAAAATTCATAAAATAGTGTCTCATTTAATATCTCTGAAGAAAACATAAAGTGTTATACAATGTTATGCCAATAGTTACTAGAAATGTGCCTTCATTACTTATTTTTAAAAATAATATTTATACTGATTTCTAAAACAGTTTTTCTTTTCAAGCAGTAAGTTATGTAACAAATTCTATAAATTAAAAAATATAGAAGGTTAATTTGAAATAAATCTATAATCTTATATCTTTGAAGTTGATATGTCACTTCTAGAAAAAGTTGAAATTAGTAATGATACTGAATGATCACTTGCAATTTGCCAAATAGTAGTTCTCTCATATTTTTGTTTTGTCTCAAGACAGATGACATTAAGCATTAATGTTAACTGACTAAAAAAGTAGTAAGCATTAATGTTTATGAATTGTTTACTGATAAAAAAAAAGAAAGACTGATTTAAAGGAGTCTGAAAATATCCCACCATGGGAGCATTTGGTGTTTTTATTTTTTTCATGGTTGATTGGTGACTGCTGTCACATTTAATGGAGTATCTAACATCTGCAAAACCAGTGATTTGAAGATACCAAATCTCATAAGCATGTGGTATACTATTCAACAAAGTTTCCAAGATAGCTATTTCTTTGTGAAAGAATTCATTGTTTAGTTTTGTGACCTTTATACATACTTTCTTGGCTTTTGCAATGTTACTATTTAAAAAGAAAGGGGGGAAAAATGCTGCCCAATATACTTTCAGTGGACTCCCATAACCACAGCAAAACAACTTGAATTTATTTGTAAACCAGTTAGCTGAAGAATATGGCACAGGAAATCTGCCGAGACTTAATCTCCACCCCTATCCATACATGCATACTCATTCAGCTATAGCATACACTCAAAAAATACTAGGTTGATGAATTGAGATTAAGAGCATTAAATAATATTTAAAAAATTCATATGCTCTTGACCACCACATTGTCTTCTAGTCGCTAGGCACTAGTTAGGTGATCAATCTGCAGAAGTACATAAGAAAATAAAGCTAGTGAGGCAATGTGGCCACACTCCTCTGTGCCACAGGGTTCTAAAAAGAGGCCGTTCTAGGTTTGTAGAAGTCACAGAACTTAAAATTCCAAATAACATTACAAGTACAAATACTTTTGTCAAAATACAACTCTATCTTTTAATTTTTATACATTAATTCAAAAAGTCAGAAATAATACTACACGCGTGTCAAATAACAAAGATGCTGAGATGCAGTGTACCGTGTTAGTAAACAGTCAGGACAAATGGGAAAAACCTCCCTAGGTTTAAATATCCCATCTCTGTAATCCATGCCCAGGGCTCAGCAGCTTATAGCTCCATCAGTCTGGCTGCTGATATTTCTTATCAGGATCTATATGGAAAGAGACCCAGAAAGATGTCTGAGACTCATAACTCTAAGCACAGGACAATGTAACAATGGAATCAAGTTTCCTGTATCTAGAGGATATCTGCCATCGGAACAGCTCATCAAAGAGAATCAAAGCATTTTAGCTACACAATGGCACCATTTTGTCACCTGATGTTTAATGACGTCGATAGACACTGAGTAGAGCAGCTTTTACAAAAGTATACATGACACACCATGGTGCTTCAGACTTCTGAGCAACTTGGCACTGGTAATTCTGGCACACTCACTGCCAGCAATGGATGCGTCACCGGGAAACCATTCTCCTGACATGGCATGGCTTAATGAGTGAGGATGTGCTTGCCCTTTGATTTTTATATCACTGGCCATGATTACTTGGTGAACTATCGTTGCAACCCCGATAAGAATACACAGGAACAAAAAAAGTATGATTTCAAACCCATATGTCCACTGGGTTTCATAGTACAGTTTCACATAGGTATAGTTAATAAACTAAATTCAAGTCTTTCACTTGAGAGCCATAAAAGACATAGGCTACAAAGGCACTGCCCCTGTAATGGAATTTTGTTTTCATTGCATTGAATTGCATTGCATTGAAGAGTATCAGTACAGTATCCAGTTTACTTCTTCTCACAAAAACTTCTGGCTCTTTCCTCTGGAACACTTATCATGATGCAAAAGAAGGTCTAGTTCCTCCTTACTTTCAGCCACCTGTATGCACAGGATTCTTCATACATAACTTTCTTTCACTTTCTCATCCTGTAGAAAAGATGTGAGAACTGCAACATCTACTACTGTCTGGTTTTTGTGTAATGACAGGTCCTTTAAGTGGTCATCATCACTTTGGTCCTTGGCAAAGTTCACAAATACCTGTTGAAGAAAAAGATGGACCTTTATAAATACCTCTCAACTTTCTGTTTTTACCAGTTACATCTTTCCCCATGTTGAAACTAGGTCAGATAGAAAAAAGAGAGAATTGTATAAACATTAATTAGAAAACTGTATGAGTGAGGAATAATTATTTTTAAATTGACTTTCTATATTGCCCCTCACATAACCAATCACTCAGTCATCTATTTACTTGGGCACATATAGTCTTGATTAAAGTGAAGAGGGAGAAAAATATTTACTGAATACTTACTAAGCATCAGGATCTATTTGTTACTTTTTGTTATCAAATTAAAATGGATAAGGCACCTTGCAAAATGCCTGAACCATGACAGGGACTCAGTAGATTGTAATTATCATGATTATTATTAAAATAAGTTCTCATAATAACCTGAAAAAATATATAGCATCCTCTCCCTTTTCAGGTTCAGAGAGGTTTAGTAAAAATTATTACTGGTAACAATAAATCAGAAATTCAAGCACAGATAATCTAAACGGCTCAGGCTCAGGTGAAAGTGAGTGGACAAGAATCCTCACCCTGCATCTACTTTTGACTTAAAGCTTACTTGGTCAAGTGTTGTCTGAGAAACAGAGTAGTCCTCTATGTGGAGCTGCTTTTTGCTCTGAGAGAGGATGCTGAATATCCTGGCCAAAGAAGATAATGAAGATGGAAGCTGGTATTGTAGCATGTTCCGGTGTTTCTCTTTCAGGACGCTTCCTGGAAAGGCGCGTTCAAAGAACTCCTGGACAGGCTTCAGGTCAGGGTTGGACCCTGCTATCCGTACAACTATTGTATAACCATCTCCGAACCTAAAAGTAGGAAACAATACCAAGTGGAGACGTCTCAGCAAACTACCCAAAAGAATATTTAACCCTGAGAACCTAACTTGTGACATGAAAAATGAAGGTCCCAGACAGACCCAGAAATAAGTTTCTGTGAGAAAGAACTAGTTAGTATTTACTGAATACATTTATGGAAGTTTCCACACCAAGTGCCTTAAATACATGGTTTCATCTGAACCCATGAAGTCTAATAGATAACAGAAAAACTGAAGACCAAGGGTGTTGGTCACTTGCCCATGATACAATGCTCCTAAAAGTTAGGCCTAAAAGGCAGACCTATTTGTGTTGACTCCAAAGCTTGGGCCTTTTTTTTTTTTTTAAAGAATTATTTATGTTTACTTATTCATTCATTTAATTTGACCAGAAAGAGACACAGAGAAAGAGAGAAAAAGTAAGAAAGCAAGTCAGTAGGTCTGGGACTCAAACCTTGGTTGGCCATGTGGGAGTGTTCAGCACCTTAATTCCCATGCCACCCAAAGGTAGATATTCCTAGAAAACTGACTCTTAAAGAGGTTAAATAACTTGCTCAAGAGTCACACAGCCATTAAACAGTAAGGTAAAAGAATTTGAATGCAGCTCTGACTTCAATACTCTCATTCTTTCCACTACACTGTTTTGCTCAATTTTATTTCCCTTTATATTAGGGCTACTATTTATATTCACAAAAAGATAAATATTAGGCATTTTCACTAGATGCTATCCCAAAGAAGTTAACTATGTTACCTATTTTTCAGATGTTGGACACTGCCAAGACACCTGAACCTCCCATTGACCATAATTGCCATCCTAGTGCAAAGAGCTTCACATTCTTCCATACTGTGGGAAAACAGAATGAGGTTTTAGTTTTATAAGATGCTCCCATAACATCAGAACATCACCATGACAGCTGGCCTTTCAAATAAAGAGATTCCCAGGGCATAATCACATCCTGTTACAAATATATGAAGATATAGGGATGATACTGTTCACTGCAATGCTGTTCAGATTGTGAACAAGTATAAACAATCCAAATCTACAAAGTCCAATGTTAATCCAATGTTAAATAAATTAGGATGTTCCTAATGGGATACTATCCAGCTATAAGAAATGATGACACATTTATTTACTGATTTGTAGTCATGTTTACAATATATCATAAAGGGAAAAAGAGCAAATATATATATGATGCTTCCATTTTTGTTTGTAAAAGTTCATACATACTTGTATACATTTGTATAGGAAAACTGCAAATATATATAACCCAGTGATAATAATGGTCATCTCCAAGCGGTACAATTTCAAGTGATAATTGTTTCAGTATTTTCTAATTTTTACAAAATAATCACATATACTACTTGGATGATTTAAAAATCATAGTGTAGAAGGCAAGCCCCTACAGACCTATGGGATGTAAGCACCACTGATCTCCCCTCCTTGATGATACTTAGGGCACAATTCCACAAGAATCGCCGGGCTTTGGGATCCATGCCTGTGGTTGGTTCATCCTGTAAGTAGAATAAAATTAAGACTCATCATTTTCTTAAAGAAACTATCAAAAGTGGATTTTTTTTAATGCATAAGCATCTTTAAAGTAACCTACGTTTTAACTCACCATTCTAGTTACTTCTTGATGGACTAAAGAACTACAGTAAGTTTCACACTTGTTTGCAACAAAGTCACTTTTATAAATGTCTCATTGACACAGGAAACTCAAAATATTCCGTTTTTTTTTAATAAAATTAAAACAAATTTCTTCAAATAAACATGGAAGGAAAAAAGCCATTTAGTTTCAATCATCTTCCCATGACTAATAAATATATACTAAAAATGCTTTCTGTCTGCAATGTCTATTGAAGTCAGGGTAAAATTCCTTTCTTTTTTTATTCTAGTTCACTCAGCTTGTCCTGCTATATTGTACTTGCTAGCCTATTGCACTTGCTGTCTTAGAGAAACAAATTTCACATCCATATGATCTGGATTACATTAAAGCCTCAGCACAAGGCATCTTTCTGTAATAACTTCACTGCTTTTCTCCTCTGCCCAAGAGAAAAGATCAAGGGCCACTGCCCAATGTAATCTGTTTTTCATTTATCTGTGTATAAGGAACTAGTAATATGATCTAGTCACTACCTGGAATCTTGAAAATGTGCCTACATTCTCTATCTTCAGGGGATGAACATATATATGGTTAGAAAGACTGTTCCAGACAAAGATCAAGTCACACATCCAACTTTAATTATACTTTTTGGGATTCTGCAAGCCAGAGATACAAGGTGCCGAGAGCATCTTTATTTGGGAGCTCCTGAGGGCCTGACAGAGCCACTCCAGAGTATGATGAGGGAGAAGCTCCCTTCTGCTTTCTGGAATCTGCTCTGCTCTTCTCGGTGGGGGACTTGCCTGAACCACTTATACAACAGCCATGGACATACAGGACTTTCAAAAAGTAATGTTTTCCATTCAAGCCAGAACAAGATTTTCCATCCATGGTCACACTCACCAGAAACACCACAGGAGGCCCGCCAATCAAAGCCATGGCTGTTGAGAGCTTGCGCTTGTTGCCTCCACTGTAGTTACCGGCATATTTTTCTCCATACTTCACGAGGCCCAGTTTCCGAATTGCCCACTCACCAACCTAGAGTGAGAAAAGCCTTGACTTTCATCTGGCTTGGTAATTGTATTATACTTCTTTATACCTATATCTGGAAGTTCGTTCACCGAGTAGGACTAGTTTTTATAATCATGACCTGGTAAACGCTGGGCCAAAAGTAGGAAGAAGGAACCCGTGTGATGAGAGCAGCCTCCCTCTCTGCACTCTAGGATATGCATGCCCACGCTGCCCCCCCCCCCACCATCACTATGGCTTCCCACCAGATAGTAGGGCAGAGAGCCAGCATTTCCCACTGTAGCATTCATGAAGAAAAACAGCCTGAAGTTGAAGTCATGTGTAAAAAAGCTGTACAGTGTATTGTCAGGATGCCAAAGGAGGCAGGCTGGCTTTCTGGTGCCCATAGTACCTTGCCAACTTCTTTTTCTGGAACACCTCTCAGGAGGGCAAAGAATTCCACATGCTCTCTCCCAGTCAGCAGCTCTGTGATGGCATCAAACTGAGGGCAGTAGCCCATGTTCTGATGTACTTCATGGATGTTTGATAAGATGCTGCAAAGGAACACAAAACTAGTCAGGTTTTAAGCATTTTGATACGCTGATCAGACAATCTGGCCTAATGTTCCTATAAAGTATGTTTGTGCATAATGAATATACTAACATAGCTGCTGTTGCTTGCAGGAACAGCCTATCTGTCCCCAGGATACCAGCTCTTCCTGACAGTCAGGGTTCCTGCCTTACCCTGTCCAGTCTTTGCACCTGGTTCTCCCAATCTGAAGGCTATCCCATTTCAAAATTCCTGAGTCTGTGCCAATTGCAGCACAATCTTTAATAAGAGTCTCAGTCACACTATCCTGAAGCTTTAATATGAAGTCTCCATCCCAGCACAGATAACCAGTACCTTTTTACTTCCATCTCCTTCATGGTCATTTGGACTGAGAGAAGGCTTAAGAATCCTATAGAAGGCCCATAGACTGACTCAACCATAGTATGCATGTTCCAGATTTTTTGGTCCTACGGGCACTCTCTTAGAACTTAATGGTTTTTCTGATCACAGACCCTTGGAGAATCTAGTGATAGAAAATTAAAGAAAAAAGTTGACCTATTGGTGGAGGTGGGTTGTAGGTTTTAAGAAGTCAATCAGATTAAGAGTCCCTGATGTGAAAGTTCAGTGTCCACGTCCCAGTCTGAGGGGACTGTACTTCAGCCACCTCTAGACAGCCATGAACCTGGCCTTTGAACTTGGCCTTTCAGCAATATATACTTCTTTCTATTTATATAACTAGTGCTCATGGAGTGGGCCTTTTCCAGGACTGCCACATGGTTGACCATGGTTCAAGTCCCAGACCTGACAGCTTGCTTTCTCTCTTTTCTCTTTCTCACTTTCTCTCTCTCTCTCTCTTTCTCTGGTCAAACTGGAAAATGGATAAATAAAGTTAATATAATAATTCTTTTTAAAAGACAAGACTATAAGAGACAGGAGAAGAGATTGAGAAGTATATTAAGTTCCTTGCTCTTTTCAATTTTATTGGCTAGTCCCTGTCCAGTGTTTTTAAATTATAAGTCATCACCCATTGACGGGTTGTGAAATAAATTTAGAAGCTCATGACCAGTACTTTTTTAATGACATGGTATAGAGTAAGAAATATCAGAGTTCACTGTAAATAGTAACAGTAGGTATTGCTTCATGGTATTTTTCATTAAGTTATACATGACTATTTGTGTTTCTGTGTGTGTTTAATAGGTTGAGATATAAATACATCTCCTACATGTGTCATGGTCAGAAAATTTGCATGCTACAGCATTGTGCCATCTCTCCGTGTAAAAAGCCCAGAGAAGGCCCCCATGTTTAGAGTGAAAAAGAAAGAGACAGAAAGTGAGAAATCACCCCCCCCCCCGGAGGGATGGCCATAACACAGTCCAGCGAAGTGATCATTACATCATCTGCTGGTGCCCGATCATAAGTTTTAAAACTAAATTGTGACGATTGCACAAGTCTGTGAAGTTAATAAAAATCACTGAATTGTATGCAAACAAGTAATTTAAATGGTATCTAAGTTACACCAGAGTAAAGCTATTGAGAGAACAGAATAACACACACAAAAAAGTAAATAATGGGCTATCTTGTGGCCTGGCTATCAGGTGGTTGGATTCTATATGACACATCATGTGGTTTGAGTCCTTGACCCAGCAGTTGAGAAGCATCACATGCACATGTGTATACACACCCAAAATCTCAAAAAGAGAGAGAAATGGAGATGGGATTGAGGCATGACCATGCCACATGTTTTCTCATTTACTTCCCCCCCCCTCTCTCAATCTCTCTCTCTCTCTTTCTCTATCTCTTTTGCTCCCTGACAAGTACACATGCCCTCTCCCATGTAGTCCCGGACCCACTGGCTTAAACTCACGCTGGGTGCATGTGCGTGCGTGCCTAGGATCCAGAGAGGAGAATGGAGGAGAAGGGAATGCGGCGTAGCCATCCTCCCTGGGGGGATGATTTCTCGCTTTCTGTCTCTGTCTCTCTCTGCTTTCTGGAAAGGGCACGTGCTCTATAGCAAAAACCTCTCCAAAAAAAAAAAGAAAAACTCTTAATAGTGGTTATCTCTAGGTAGTAAAATTAAGATTTTATACTTGTCTTTATACATTTACTATATTTCAACATTTTAATGAACTCCAAATAATACTATTGCTGTAAAAATAGCAATGTATTTCTTTAAACAAACTAAAATAAAAGTGTTTATGCAAAATATAGGCCACTTCTTTTCTTACCTATTTTTATTAAGGAAAGCATCTCCTCTGGTAACAGTGGTATCTCCAGTTAACATCTTAAAAGTTGATGATTTTCCAGCACCATTAACTCCCAGAAGTCCAAAGCACTGAAAGAATAAGATTGGGTAAGTTGTATAAGCAAACTACTAAAATACAAATGTGAATGACCCCATAAAACAGCCACCTCAACTTATATATATGTTTTTATATAACGTGATCTTAAAACATCTTCTTAGATATCAAGGAAGAATCAAATATTTTCTTGTATTTTAAGATGGCACATAGATACTTAAATATATATTTTAGAATGGAACCATTTTAAGTGTGGGTATATTTGTAAATATTATTTGTATGGTGTGCTTGAGATGAAAATGTGTGAAACACAGTAATGAAAGTCAAGTAGTCAAATTATATCACTCAATCTGGCTAATGGGCATAAAAGAACACTAACAGAAATGAGAAAGACAGAAATCTATTTCTTTACATCTATTTGAATTTCATTATCATCTCAAATAGATCACAAAAGCAGGTTCAGGATGTGCATGCTATTCTTAAACTGCCTGAGATTATCCAAAATCATTCTCTTTTGACATACGAGGTCCCCATCCTCTCCACGATTGATTGCTCTAGATAGGCAAAGCCACTCTCACCCCTTACAGACATTGTTGTTTGATTGGGTAGACGGTCTGAATTAATAGAGATAAACACAATGTATTTTTACCTCACCAGGAGGAATGCCAACACAAATCCTGTCAACAGCAGGCTTCCTCTTCCTTCTATATATCTGAACAAACAAAATGCAAAAATTTATGAGCCTCAGTGACTAACAGCTTTCCTGAGGAACATGAAGGGGAGATTTTAACCCAAATATACCATGAAATAAGACTCATCAATATGACTAGGTCACATATTTGATGTGCTAAGAGCCTTGGTCTGTCTCTGTGGCAACCAGTTTCTGACGGACTCTGAAGCACAGAATAAAAGTGAATTTCTTTTTTACTTTTTATTCTGAGTTTTTTAGTAAAAACTATTGGCCATTAATATTTACATAATTTTTCATTTATTCAACATACAAAGATATTGCAGATGTTTCTAAAATGAAATTCCATAAGATAAAATTTATAAACAAAATATTGCATATGATTTACATATTATGAAAATTAAAAATCTGTGAGTTGAAACAGACTCTTCTGAGTAATAGAGAAATATCAGCTTTCTGGTCTAAGAAAGTCAGAACTGACTATTCTTCCTACCTCAACTTTGACTAGATAAACCATATTAGTATGTTTTAATAAAGTAGCACATAAATGTGAGTGCACAAAAAAACATATTGAAGAAAAAGAATTCACATTAAGAAAGTATTCTCTGTAGGATTCTTTAAGAAATGTCCCATGACATATTTTAAATAAAATTAAATTGACAGAAATTTGGCATAGATGCACATTTGGGAAAAGAAAAGCTTTTTACTCAGCAAAATCCTAGTTTTCTCCATATAAAGCTGAAAAAAAATTGAGGATCTACTATTATAATTTGTATTCACTGTCTCACCTTAGTCAACTCCTTGATTTCCAAGATGTCATTCTGTCCTCCACCATCAAGAATTCGCTGTCTTTCCCGCCTTACATCTTCATCCTCATCATTCAAAGGAGTAAGCTTTGCATTTACCGGTCTTAGAAAAAAAAACATTAACAAAAATGAACCTTTTGAACAATTTTTCAAGACAAAGATCTAATCTCTAAGGTAATTTTTATAAATCCAACTTGCCACAATTTGCAGGACAAGCAGGGCTTGGGGTTGAGGGATGCCCGTATCACAAAAATCAGTTTGATTATCTATTTTGATTTCAACTGAACGCAACCAACATTGACAAGTATTTTCCTATGCTCATCCACTATGACCCTCAATCAAGTGCTCCATGAGTTCTGACAAAAAACTCACCTGGGCCTGATGAAGAATCTGTACTGTATCAGAACAGTAATAAGAAAGAACACTACCCCTTCCACTGCCATAGCGAAGAGGTTTCGTCCCACCAAGTCCCAAGAGAGTGGTGACACAAAGCGATTCTCCCCTGGAAGATACAAGGCAGAGAGCTAGTCAAAATGGAGACATTAAGAACAATGGCCCTTGGGACCAGCAGTTAGCGTAATGGCTATGTCGCTGGACTCCCAGTGGTTCAAGTCCTGGACCCGGTGGCTTAAACTCACGCGGGGCGCGTGTGCATGCGTGCCCAAGATCCCGAGAGGAGAATGGAGGAGAAGGGATTGCAGCGTGGCCATGCCCCCTGGGGGGTGATTTCTCGCTTTCTGTCTCTCTGTATCTCTCTGTCTGTCTGGCGAGCGCACGCGCCCTATAGCAAAAAAACCCTCTCAAAAAAAAAAAAAAAGAACAATGGCCCTTCCTCAGATTGGGGCTTAAATTCACCTATTTTCCTAGAAATGCCAATGGCTATCGCCCATGACAAAGATAAAAAAAGTAATACAAGAGTGATCACTTTTCTACTATGAATTAGGGAAACATAGTACTACCCTGTATCAATCAGAATTTCAGAGCCAACTTCCATTAGATTTGTAACTTCATCAAAGATACCTAGTATTTCCTTTTTAATGACACATGCCAAATATTCTTTTTAAAAAGGCAAACAAACCAAGTAATATTTAGGATCAATGTAAGTCTCTATACTAAGAACTATTACAAAGCACTTTTAAAAAGTGCCCCTAGTGATTTAATTAAATCATCTGGTTTTATGTATTTTAAATTCCTTACACAACTCCTTTGTTCCTCCAAGTCGAAAAAATGTCCCTTTTCTATGTCCATTAAATAACATGGCCCATCTAATTATATTAACCAGTGAATGAATGATAATCATAAGGACACAGGAAAAATATTTTTACTACTCTAAATGTAGAAAACTGCAGTAAATTATCTTTCTATAGACTGTGTAAAAGATAACATATAACCACACATGCAGGCTCATGACTTGCCTAATAAAACCGAAGTTTGAATCTTTTCATCTCATTCTTTGACCTGTATCTAATCCAAAAGCTTAGGTTTGATTTTTCCAGTGACTCTGACAAACCCAACCAGTGGCATTAGGCACTGGGCTCCAATCAAATGCCGCCATTTTTCTCACCTCCAAAATTGCTGTCTTACTTATGTCAGTGCTACCAGAGGTACAAATGGTTGTGTCACAAGGCCCATGCCACACCAGCTGCATTGGTATGAGCCCTATCAGTATGCCCAGTTACCAGGCTCTTTCTAAGACAAAGGTCAGGATATGAAGGCCATCTCCCTTAAAGCAACCTCCAGCTACTCCTTCACTTACCAAACCTTTCCAGGGCATCAGCCATAGCCTGGTTTTTCACCATGTCAATGAGCCCTCGTCCCAGACAGAAATGTGGGAAGATCAAAAATACAGACTTCAGGATATCATTTATGTTATTCAACTTCTAAAAAAAAAATAAGAGAGAGAGAGACAGGATGTCATTCATGGTTTAGGCTAAAAATTTATCAAAGTCTAAAACATGAGAATGAAGAAAAATAATCTGAATTCCAGACCTTCAAATTCAGATGCTAATAAATAGTAGCAGGCATAGCTGATGATATAGAACATAATAAATTTTTATTTTTTTAGAAAATTTGGAGTGTTTTTCTGAGTACAGAGAAATAAAATGAATAATGTTTAGAAACTTGGTTACATTTCATCAGAAGCAAATCTGTAACAAAATATTTGCTTAGCATCCTAAAAGTAAATTGCTCATGTCTTGGTCAATATTTGAGTTTCAGAATTGTGTTGAAACTTAAAAATTTCTTCTTGAATACATCAGAACTTACTATGACCCCACAAGGTAGCAATGGCCAAATATCCAGCCACTGAATAGGTTCTATATGGTGCATACACTGTGCAAGGGCTTGGAAGAAGCCAAAGTTACTAAGAAGTAGTCTCTACTCTTTAGGAAAAGAAATCTGCAAACAGGAAATTACTACATAACTAGATATATGCTATACCTGAGGCGTGAACTAAGGAGTCTGAGAAGAAGTGAGAGTGCCTCCCATGGGCAGGTAAGGAAGCTTTAAATTTGAGCTAAATCTTGAAAGATAAGGCAAACTAGGGCCAGTAGGTGGTGTGGTGGTTAAGGCAGCTGGACTCCCACATGATTGACCATGGTTCAAGTCCTAGACCTGGCAGCCTGCTTTCTTACTTTCCTTCTCTCTCTCTGTCTCCCTCTGGTCAACTTCAAAAAATAATAATAATAATAACAACAACAATGAATAAAATTAAATAAAATAATTCTTAAAAAAATAAAGAAAAAAGGTAAGGGCAGAACTACCAGACCCTGCAACAGAAGAAGGGTATTTCAAGTCAGGTCTGCAGAAGTATGGAGGGCTTAAGAGACAACTCAGCTACAGCTTATTGGGAATTGGGAAAGCATGTGGTAGAAATGGCCAGGAAGGGTTATGTACCTTTCAAAGACCTTGTGGGCTAAACTGTGGTATATGGACAAGGAAGTGACAACAGAAAGGAAACCTCATTTAAGAGTTCTCTACTGGGAAGAATTAATGACACAATCAGTTGAATATGGGAAATAAGTATCAGTAAAGCATCCTGGATGATCCTAAAAGTTAGGCAACTGAGTGGAAAGCCAAGAATGACAGATAGCAAGAGAAATATTAGGTTCTGAAGGGAAAGATGATTAGAACATGTCCAAATTGGGATATCTATAAATCGTCTAAATGGAGAAAATGAAAATGTGAGACTAGAGTTCAAGGGATTGATCAAAGTCAGAGGCATAGACCTGAAAATGATAAAGACATCAAAATAAGTAGTGGATTGGAAGGCATCAGCCAGAGTTGTTGGCACCTAAAATGGAAAGCAAAGATGGCAGATGACTGTGTACTGGGAAAAGGAACACTGAAACAGAAAGAAGTATAAAAGAACCTGTCAGAAGAAAGTGGAAAGTTTGACCAGACATAATAGGAAAGAAAGTTATTGTGTAGACCTAAGGGAGAAACAGTTTGAAAAAGAACAAGACAGCAACACCACTGCCACAGACAAGCAGACTAAGACCATGATTAAACACTGTCCTCTGGCTCCCAGAGATGTGCATCCCAGCAGCAAGTACTCTCTCTGTAGAACTCACATTGTTGGTGAAGAGCTCTAGCACGAAAGTGGCCACGCTGCCATTGATGCCAATAAATAGGTTCACACTGGTGAGTACTACATAGGCTGTGCTGGGGATCTTGAACACGAAGGAGGCTGGATACATGAGAGGTGTGATTGACCACCTGGAGAGGTACAAAGATAAATGTCCACTGGGAGTCCTCTGCCCATCCTCTGGCACTAAGTACCACGTGCCTTACCCACTGTGAAATGTCCCCACCCAGAGGTGCCTTACCCATACAGCAAAAGTAGAAGGGCGAGAACAGGCAGGTTGGTGGAAGACACATAGGACTTCTGCTGGAAGCAGATGAAGATAATAATGACCAGCGTGGCAGGGACCACATAATTGCACTAAAAGTGAAACAAAGAAATAAAATTCACCCCTAAGTGAAATATATAATACATCCCAAGTCTTCACCATCATCAGTGATAAAGGGAAATTAAGCATATTAGAAAGTAACTTTTAATTAATGAAGCCACATAAACTATTAATCAAAATGAAGGACAATATATTTTGACATACACTTTACCCTTGGATGCTTTTATAAACTGCATGCCCTCTCTGTCTTCAACAGCTAAGCCAAGGAGTCATCATGTTCAGTAGACTTACTAACAATGAATTCCTAATTAGAGTAATTTTAGTTTCACAGGCAGCAAACGAGCTTCCATTATTTTTCCCCAAGATGAATGCATCTGTTTCATCATTAATGTTATAAGTATGGTCTGCCCGAATTCAATCTCACACGTAATCTATTTTTTAGTTAAGTACTCATAATATGAATGTCAGAATTATTTCATCACACTAAGAATAATTTTTTGTGTGTTTTTTGGTAAAGGTTTTTGCCTTAGGGCACATGTGCTTGCTGGAGAGAGACAGAGACAGTGAGAGGAAAAGTGAGAAATTACCCCCTGGGGGGATGGCCACACTGCAATCCCTTCTCTGCCATGATCCTCCTAAGGTCTTGGGCACCTATGCACATATGCCTGGCATGAGTTTCAAGCCACCAGGTCTAGGATTTGAACCGCAGTCAGCCATGTGGGAGTTCAGCAACATAACTGCTATGCCATCTGCTTACCCCAACACACTCAGAATAATTTTAAAGTCTGTTCTGATGGTGTATCAAGTTGTAAAATACAGAAATAAAGACTTGACCATAGACCAATGATGAGAATTTATACCTGGGCAAAGTATGAGGAACAAAATACAGATAAGAAAGTGATAGTGAGTTTGTCATCTCTTAGAAGAACTGTAGCTTTAGACTCTAGGACTCTGTTTCACTCCCATGCTACTTTATATGTTCATCAATAACTTAAAGACCCTTATAGAAAATTTCAGGGACTTCAAAGCAGGGAGAGACAGATAATAAGCAGGAAGGTAAGTGATGTCTTTGAGTTTGGGGACATGATCTTTCATCTCTATATCTCTTATGCCTAGCATCATCAGACATATAGTGAGCATTCAGTATGTATTTACTGAATAGAATAATTACTGAATCAAGATAAACAGAAACAGGGACCAGCAGGTGGTGTGGTGGTTAAGGCGCTGGACACTCCCACATGGCCGACCAGGGTTCGAGTCCTGAATCCGATGGCTTGCTTTCTCACTTCCTCTCTCTCTCACCCTCACCCTCTGTCTCTCTCTGGTCAAATTAAAAAATAAATGAATGAATAAATAAAAAATAAAGTAAATAATTATTTTTAAAAAAGATAAACAGAAACAAAACAAATAGACACTACACAAAATGTAAGTTAATGGGGATAAACATAAAGTTTAGGTTCAAAAAAATCAAATGCATTAGTACAGAATGAAAGAAACTCAATTCAACAGTTATGTGTGTGAAATGCAAGTTTCAACCAAGTTACCAATGAGACAGTGCTTCTTCAAAAATGCAGTACCCTTGTACTGTGGTAACAGAAATATGGGATAAATGTCAACTCCCTCTAGACTCATAACCATTCAGACCACAGCATGAACACAAGGTTAATTCTAGGCTTTGCTTTTCAAAAGGGACATTAACAATATGGAATATGGCCATAGATGGGCAACAGATCAAAAGAATGACAAGTCTAAGAGGCTTGATATAATCAGCACAAACATCATCATCATCTCCACCATCATAGCTCACATTTGTACAGTGCTTTAGAGATTGCAAAGTATGTTCTCATACATCATCTTATCTGGGGAAGACATAGGTTAAGTGAGAGCTGTCTTTAAATATCAAGAAGCTGTCCAATGGGAGGAGAATTTTATTTGCTCTGTGTGGCATACAACTAGTGGAAATTATAAAAAGTTGTATTTCAGAATTCTTTGAAGTTCTCCATATTGGTCCAAACAAAAGCAGTATATTATAACTTGCACAAAAGCATATTTTCAATGAATGCATAAGCTGCTATTAAGAATGTATAAATTTTTCAAATGACAGATGACTTTCCTATTAAGGTAGAGAACATACCAACTCTCAAGATTAAACCCTATCAGAGAAGTTAGAGGCATTAACTTGAAGTTTTGACTAAGTTCCTTCCATCTCTTTGTTTCTTGGGAAACTTATCATTTAGGAAGTTAGTGGTATTAATATTAGTGAATGTGGATGGATGTTCCCTCTGGTGTGACCTTAGCTCTGATACTCAAAGTCATATTTGATGTCATGAAAACGATCAACCACCACTGCCTTTTCCTTTTTCATTCATCTTTCAACTAACTGGAACACTTTCTGGTGATTGCCAGGGGCTCTTTCATCCTTATCTATGCCAATCCATGGCCCTTATAGAGACTGATAAAGCAGCAGCACCACTGTGTCCTTACCATGTCCCACACAAAATTGGAGAGCCAGTAAATGACAGGCTTCACTCCACTGATGAACTGCAGGTGCTTTGCTTTGCTGACCCGCTCCTGTATCAGGAACACAACAAAGCTGGCTGGGACAAAAGACATCGCAAAGATGACACAGATGGACACAAGGACATCCACTGATGTGGTCATTCTGGAAAGAAAAAGGCAGTGAGGATATGAGAGGTCTTTGCTGTAGCTGAGGGCTCAATCAACTAGGCCACAGGTGCATACAGACACATGCAAGCACGCAGGCATGCACACACACACACACACACACACACACACACACACTCACATACACAAATATCTAAGGCATAGCCCAGAAAAACATCTGTTCACCAGATACACATTTTACTCAGGGTTAAAGATGATCACTTTCAAGTTTGAAAGACAAAACAAAAAACTAGACAATTCAAATGCAAAACAGACTTCGCTGAGGTCAAAAAGAGTCCACTGCAACAATAAAACTATTGAAAGAAGTCTGAGAGCTGCCTAATGGTATTCACTTTGGTTCACTGTTCTTGACCTTGTAAGAGCAGTAAGTTGTACGTTTTTTATATACAAAAAGCTAGTGTGACTTGAAAACTAACTTAAAAGCAGCAGTATTAGTATTTGCAGCTACTCAAATAAATTATTTTTTTCTGGCTATTAATAACTTTGAAAGCAACAGCATGTAGCATATAAATCTAGCACATAAAAAATTTCATCACATACTCATCCTAAGAGGAACAGTTTCATAAGCCCATTGCACAGGGTGTTGGTATAATGATCCTAGTGTCCTACATTAATATTCTATTAAACTGAAACAATAACTGTCACCGGAAAGAGATCTAACATATGTTGAATATTAACTCTATGCTGGGTGCTGAATTTGGCAATTTACATGTGTTTTCTCATTTAACGCCATACATTTAGAAAGTTTAGAAACTTGGGAACCAGCAGTTAGCGTAATGGCTATGTCGCTGGACTCCCACGTAGTCGACCGCGGTTCGCGTCTCGGACCCTGTGGCTTAAATCTCACGCCGGGCGCGTGTGCGTGCGTGCCCAAGATCCCGAGAGGAGAATGGAGGAGAAGGGATTGCGGTGTGACCATCCCCCCTGGGGGGTGATTTCTCGCTTTCTGTCTCTATGTCTCTGTCTGTCTGGCGAGCGCACGCGCCCTATAGCAAAAACCTCTCCAAAAAAAAAATAAGAAAGTTTAGAAACTAGAGCCAAACCCAGATCTCCATGATTCCAAAAGCTATATACTAAATTAGATAACATTAGCTTTATACTTCACATGCACACACACACACACACACACACACACACACACACACTCACAGCTTAATTTAGAAATTAAAAACAAGCTAATAAAAGCATATGTCAACATGTTTAAAAGTGATTTTAAAACAAATGATACTGATTTTTTTATTAAATAATTTGTGTTAATAGTGAGATATATTATTTTAGAATGTTATTAACAATTTTTACTTCATTTATGTGAAATCACTAAATGTAATGATTTTTACATATCTATATCACTTCTCTTCTGCAGTTGAAAAAACCCTGCCAGCCGATGTGTAAACTGACGCTTTCTGCCCAGAGCCTCAATCAATTCAGATGTACTATAATGTAACTGTCTCTGCAGCTGTTATCCTACAAGCAGCTTCATATTTCCTTTCCCTGCTCTATAATCCCCTTAACACCCACTCCTCTTTTCTCCCCATCCTATCCATTCAGATAGAGGTACACTTACAGAGCCACTTCTGAGAGCTGCTGCTTGGTGAGATTCAGGGGGTGATTGAAAGCAGTAATCCCATAATGGCTAGGATTCTCTCCCTTCTGCAAGTTGGCCCGGAGAATGGCATTGTTGATGACATTTAGGAAAGAGCTAATGGCATGCCATCCCTTGTTATTGAACCACACCTGAAATAAAACATACCAGATACAAGTAAGGCCCTCTAACCCCACTCCTAGAGGTGAGTGTCCACATACAAAACATGTATGTAAACTTCAGAATGAAATTCCAGTCACATACTAAGACAAAACACTACAATCAGAGAATGTGGCAGAGTAATAACAGTATACACAATATACTGACCACTATTGTGTGATTGCAGACAAATCTTAAAATTGCTTTTTCTATTTCTGTGAAGAATGTTGCTAATATTTAAATAGCAATTACTATAAATTTGTAAATCATGAGTTGACATTTTATCCATATTCATTCTTCCATCCATGACCATGGGATATCTTTCCATGTTATTTGTGTCTCTGATTTATTTCATTGGCATTTTATAGTTGCTATTGTAGAGATCTTTAACTTCCTTGGTTAAATTTATTTATACATACTTGTTTTGTGTGTGTGGCTATAGCAAATGGAATTGCTTTCTTGATTTCTTTCTCAGCTGGTTTGTTATTGCTGCATAAGAACATTACTGATTTTTGTATGTTGAATTTATATTCTTTAATCTTACTGAATTCCTTCATCAGTTCTAAGAATTTTCTGGGAAATTTCTTAGGTTGTTCTGTTCATGATCATGTCATCTGCCAACAGGGACAATTGCAATTCCTCCTTTATAATTGGAATGCTTTTATTTCTTTTTCTTTTTGTTTAATAATTTATTATTATTATTATTATTATTTATGCATTCAATCACTATGCATCATTTAGATTGTAAAGCAACTTTACCCAGCATGATAGACATCTCAGTCCAGTTGAGAATACTATACACATCCTCATTGACAGATAATAAACCATATCTGTGTCCCACAAATATCTTACTCTCCATTTTTTTCCCAAATTTTTTTTCCTGTACTCTTCCACTCCCATATTCTCCTTCCACCTTTTCTCAAGTGTCCATAACAATTTTTAATGCTTTTATGTCCTCCAGTCTTTCAATCTCTACCACAGAGTGTGGATAGTGAGTATATGTTAACTGGAGATATATAATATCTCTCTTTCACAGCCTGACTTGCTTAACTCAGCAAAAAAATCTTCCATATTCATTGACTTTGTATCATATTCCAGGGCCTTGTTGTTTTTTATGCCTGAATAGTATTCCATGGAGTACATGTGCACACTTTTTCAATTCATTCATCCATTTGTGGACATTTGGGTTGGTTCTGTGTCTTAGCAATCATGAATAATGCTGCAATAAATATATTTGTGCAAGCACTTTTCCGACTGAGTGTTCTCCTGTCCTTTGGGTAGATATCCAGGAGTGGAATTCTGAATCATATGGCAGTTCTATTTTTATTTCTTCTTCTTACGTAACCACTTTGGCTAAGACGTCCAGGTCTATGCTGAATAGCAGTGGAGAAAGTGGGCATTCTTGTCATATTCCAGTTCTTAAAAGAAGAGCTTTCAGGGACCAGCAGTTAGCGTAATAGCTATGTCGCTGGACTCCCACGTAGTCGACCACGGTTCGCGTCCCAGACCCGGTGGCTTAAAACTCACGCCGGGCGTGTGTACATGCATGCCCAAGATCCCGAGAGGAGAATGGAGGAGAAGGGATTGCGGTGTGGCCATCCCCACATGGGGGGTGATTTCTCAATTTCTGCCTTTCTGTTTCTCTCTGTCTGTCTGGCGAGTGCACGCACCCTATAGCAAAAAAACCTCTTAAAAAAAAAAAAAGAGCTTTCAGTTTTTCCTCATTCAGTTTGATGTGAGCTGTGGGTCTGTCATATGTCATATATGGCCTTTATTATGTTGAGATCTGTGCCTCCCATATCTAATCTGTCGTGATTCTGATGTGCCTTCTATATCTAACTTATGGTGATTCTGAATCATCAAGGGATGTTGTACTTACATCTTTAACTCATTTAATCTCATGAGAGTTTGGAGGTAGCCATAATTACTGTCTCTATTTTGAAAATAGGAAATAGAGGCTTAGATAAGTACAGTAACCTAATCAAGGTCACAATGGTTCACCTGATATGTCTGGTGGCAAAGCTAATTCTCTTAATCACTATACTGTCTGGCCTTTCTCACCAGTGAAGTTAACTGCTCAATTTTTTTCTGTCCTGGATACCCTTTTATCAACTTTACCATGAGTTGAAAGTGTTTTTGCAAAAACATTATTTTCACTAAGAAGCTATGAGAACACAGACAATGGTTTACCTTGACATTATTTTTAGTGTCCAGTCCTATCATGAAGCTTCCCAAACTATTGAGAAATCGATCTGCAGAGCTGTCCTGTAAACAACAGAAACCTGCCTCAGTTGTGGGTTGTTCACACAGTTAAGGGACAACAGTTAAGTCTGGGATCTGTGGACAACAGGCAACCTGAGAAAATTAATACCACTACTACCTTGCCCACTGAAATTAAGTTTGAAACCAGTAAATAAATGGCTCCTGAGAACCAAGTATCCAGAAATGGACAGCACTGATGATACCATGTTGACACAAGTTTTAAAGGAATCAAGGTGAAATCCCATGAATCAAAGCCCCAGGACTCTTAGCCTGGCTATAACTGGGTGATGTGGATTCTTCAGTGTTCTCCTGAGATCATCCCAAGACCCACAAACATATTCTACACACAGATGTATCAGACATATGGACCTATTTCTTAAAACAGAGCTACAGACTCTTAAGACTATCACCACTACTATCTAGGATCCTAGAGCCCATGTCACCTGATCCCCTCAACTGTTATTTAAAATTGAGAAAGTTGAGACACAGAGAAATGGAATGAGTGCTTACCAGGTCCTAAAGACCAGCCTGACATTTTCAAAAATGAATATGATTCATTTCCTATTTAGCTAATGATTATTTTAAAAGATTATGTTTGAAGCTCAGTTTACCACTGGCTAAAATTTATAAACAGTTGTTCTGAGAGCTTTGAAATCTTTGAATTTGGCTTTGATCTACATTTCCAGGTTTTTAAATAAATACTAAGTAGTTCTATTTTGTCTGGTTCAAATCACTAAAAGCCAGTGATGGTTTTGTATCTAAATGTATTCAAAACAATGCACTGCTAGGTGATCAGATTTACCTGCTGATTATCCTCATGCCCCAATAGCACCAAACCAAATTTTCTGACGTCTCAGGATGGGTACTGTACCTTGGCCAGCTGCAAGTGTTTCTTCACTTGCCTGATGGCATCATTAACTTCTTGACTTGAAGGAAGTACTTGAGAATTACTGACACCCAGGGAAAATCCACCATACCTAAAAGAACAGCCTGACATTAAAATCCAGACAGCATAGTATACAATATCACTTAACAGCAGATACTACATAAGTGAATACAGCTCATGAGAGATCTCCTACTTAATGAAGGGTTAAAGTTTGACTCAGGGAAGTTACCTGCAGGCCTCGTCTAATATATTCTAGAAATATTTTAATCCTCATGGCTCCTGCTGGGTAGAAAGGACCAGCCTGACTGTATAGTTAGACACCTATCTAAGATATTGAGGAAAGAATACTCAAAGAATAGTCAATCATTTCCCAGTGGTTCCTCCAACCCTGATTCAGGCCTGAACCCACTTTCTGGAGGCAAGCAGATGGGGAACTGGGTGAGTGTTGAGGGACTGTCCAGAGTAATCTATACTGAGTTTGGCTCTTTCTTAGCATGAGAACCATTTCAGTGCCTGTGCATGCTTCTTCCAGAGTTCCAGGGGTGGTAGCCTTTGTGGCAAAGAGGAAAAGTGGGAATCAGTGAAAGGGATCCTGTGGGATCTAGCTACACATTTTCTGCAATGTAAAAAATGGCTTTAAGAATCCTTCCTCTCTAAGCCCCATCTGTTCCTTCAAAACATGGACAAATTGGTTGAAATTTCATGAAAATAGATGGTTTTGTTGCCCCTTATTTCCTCTAAGAGCATCTTGGTTCCATGATAAATGCCTAATAAATTGTTCTTGAGTTCTAAGGATCTCTTGGGACTCTAATCTGGGAAGAAAGGGTAACCAGGATAGGCATTTGTGTCAAAATACTGTACCTACTTTAAATCTCTAGGGACCTATGAAGTTTCTGAATCTCCTCAAGAAAATTGGTGCTACAAATATTTTATAAGCCTCTGAAGTGGTAGCTGGACACCAAGCAGAGATGTTTCAGGCAAAAAATCTCCAAAGCAAGTCCAAACTACATCTGCCTATGCCCCTGTGTGCTTCACATTCTGTGGGAGTTCTGTTCTAACAGTGAGGTGGCACCAGAGTGTGTGAGGCCAAACAATTCCAGCCTGACGACTTCCTCTCATCCAACATTCCAGCATCAAAATCATCCTCCTAAGCTAGTGTTGCCAAGGAAAACTGAGAGCACAGAAAGAGACCCACTTACCTAAACTCATTCACCCAGACCTTGTTCTTTAAGCTGCAGAAAGTAAAGATAAAGAAACCAAAAATCAATTCAGAGAAAGCATTGATCCAATTCTTAATGATTCTAAAGAAGTAAATATCTAGCTGAGGATACAAAAAGGGCAAAAAATAATCCTATAATCAGGCTGGCATTGTAGAGCTATGTCAATAGATACGAGCTCATTCTCAGCATGTCTCTCCTTTATTAAAAACCTTATTATTTATATGAGAATCACATCTTGGGTTAAACCAAATAAAAACCACATTATAGACAGTCTTGACTGCACTACAAACTTTTTAAAATTCAAATTGTGGATGGCGTGCAGAAGTTATATCTCTTTCTCAGAAAATAATTGTCATCATCATTCTAATATACTCTTAACATGCAAAGTTGCCAGGAACTCGTAACCCAGAGACCCACCTGACCACACTGATAAGAGAAAAACCCAAACAAACATTCCTAGCATCAACTAAGTACTTGACATTGAACTATGATATCTGGAAGCTTCAAGGCTTTTCCATGTTTCCATAGCCAACACAGGCCACAGAGTCTTCCCAGGGCCCTCATAATACTACATTTTTAACATGGAGGACCTTTCATGGGAGAGTGTCCAAGGCACTTTATGTATATCATGAAGTCCTCACAACAAACTTATAAGAGCAACATTAATATCACATTTAAACAAACTGAGATTGTCAAAGGATAATTGTCCCTGGTCAAGTAGCAAGTAAGTGGCAAAACTCAAAAATGTTAAGAAATTATTTATTTTCATTCTAGAGCAGATTGCCTCAAGCTTTACCCTGATAACTGGTTGTTCATGAGACTTCTTACTACCTTTTCTAGTTTGGAAGCATATCCAATAGATACCATCGGCAAAAATTTGATGCTTCCTCTACCACTCCAGTTTACTTGCAATACTTTAATTCTTCTAATCAGTAATGAAAAAAACAGGCCAAGTTTAGTAAATAATCACCTTTTGGCGATAATCTGCACATATGTCTTCACCAGGTAATCAGAAATGTTTCTTCCTGTCAGATTCTGTAGGATGTCTGCAGTGTTCTGTTTTCTCTGTCATCACATTAAAAACCAAGCACATGTGTCTTTATAGACTTGAATTGAAGCAGAAAACAGATCAAGGACTACAGGGGCACATGCCCCTTCAACATATAACACGGTGTGACCAGAACCTGCCACAGCGCCCAGGCACTGCCCTCAGTCAACCACCCCAAGACTGGGTTCATTCTGTCCTCGGCACTGACCATTTGTTTACCAAACCAAAGTCTTCCTGGAAAATTATTATGAACAGCTAAACATTAACATTGATATATGATTCTTCATAGTCAGAAGGTAATTTTAGGGTGCAGCCTCAATAATCTAGCCCTAGTCAATTCCTTTGTTTGTTTGCAATGATAACGAGATTAGCCATTATTTTTAAAATCAAGTAACCAGGGCTTAAGTTTTTACACTCATTTAAAATTGCTTCTCCCCCACCCCCTGCGAACTAGATGCTGATAAAGTAGCAGAGAAATATGACAAACATATTTCTTCCTGAAATAATTCTCTGAAAAAATAGCTCTTAAAACTCAAAGAGTCTCAGAGAATGTCGCAAGTAAGTGGCAAAACTCAAAAATGTTAAGAAATTATTTATTTTCATTCTAGAGCAGATTGCCTCAAGCTTTACCCTGATAACTGGTTGTTCATGAGACTTCTTACTACCTTTTCTAGTTTGGAAGCATATCCAATAGATACCATCGGCAAAAATTTGATGCTTCCTCTACCACTCCAGTTTACTTGCAATACTTTAATTCTTCTAATCAGTAATGAAAAAAACAGGCCAAGTTTAGTAAATAATCACCTTTTGGCGATAATCTGCACATATGTCTTCACCAGGTAATCAGAAATGTTTCTTCCTGTCAGATTCTGTAGGATGTCTGCAGTGTTCTGTTTTCTCTGTCATCACATTAAAAACCAAGCACATGTGTCTTTATAGACTTGAATTGAAGCAGAAAACAGATCAAGGACTACAGGGGCACATGCCCCTTCAACATATAACACGGTGTGACCAGAACCTGCCACAGCGCCCAGGCACTGCCCTCAGTCAACCACCCCAAGACTGGGTTCATTCTGTCCTCGGCACTGACCATTTGTTTACCAAACCAAAGTCTTCCTGGAAAATTATTATGAACAGCTAAACATTAACATTGATATATGATTCTTCATAGTCAGAAGGTAATTTTAGGGTGCAGCCTCAATAATCTAGCCCTAGTCAATTCCTTTGTTTGTTTGCAATGATAACGAGATTAGCCATTATTTTAAAATCAAGTAACCAGGGCTTAAGTTTTTACACTCATTTAAAATTGCTTCTCCCCCACCCCCTGCGAACTAGATGCTGATAAAGTAGCAGAGAAATATGACAAACATATTTCTTCCTGAAATCATTCTCTGAAAAAATAGCTCTTAAAACTCAGAGTCTCAGAGAATGTCAGAGTTGGTAAGACCCACAGAAATTTTCTTGTGCCTCCCTAATTCAGAGGTGAGAAAACAGTTCAGGGTGTTAAATGGCCTGTCAAAGGCAACCAACTCTCCTGTGGCAGAACCAGTGATGAAATCTGGGCCTGTTACAGTCTGGTTTGTGGCATCACCACTGTGGGACAAGCATAGACACAACATAGTCCAAATCCACTTACCTGAAAACTCACATGCTTTTCCCTATGACATGGGGTAACATCAAAACTAAAATAACCATCCTGACATGATCTCTCTTCATTACTGCTCCCAAGCAAAGACTAGAACCCACCCTGCACCTCCATCTGCTCAGTCATCCTGAGCATGACTCACTTGTGGAGGAGGTAGCCCCCCAGCACCCAGGGGACACACGGGCAGCATCTTCTTGATTTTGTCATTGCTACACTGGCAGGTCGGTGAGGGGTTCTCCATTGTCCAGTTCCCATTTTGGAAGAGGTCCATGATGGTCTGGGGAACTGAGGCAGTAGTCCATTCCTCCTCTCCCGCCAAGCAGGGCATGTCTCTGAAAACGGAAGATATTAACGATGGGATCACCAGAGAGGGCCTGGCCTTTCCTGCTGCCTTAGGAGTTACAAGGTCATACCATAATAACCCAAACGTACACGTATCCCTCGCCATTTGGAAAGATCACTATTGAACACGATCTCATTTGACTGGCCCACAATAGCCTTTTAAGCTACAATATTATTTTATACATAGGGTGATGGTGCACAAAGAGGCTCTATGGCTTGTATACTGAACTCTGTTCAATCCAATTAACTAGCATTTGTCCACACAACAAATATTCATCAGCTACTATGTGCCAGACATTGTTCTGCATATTTGAGACTCTAGAGTAAACAAGACAACTCCCTGCCTTCATAGAGTTTGCATGCCCACAGAGGAGTTAGACAACAAATAAGCAAGTAAATAATATATGCTTATATGGCCATAAATGAATCAAAATAAGGCTAAATGGACCTCCTAAAGAGATGATACTTCGGTCAAAATAAAAATGATGAGAGAAAACAAACTAGGCAAAGCTTTGGGGTAAAATACTATTTCACCCTAAGAAATGAGCTCCTAGATTAGAAGAAAAACATGTAGGCAATATGGCTGAAATGTGATACGCTAAGAGGAAAAAAGATGATAAATGAGAAAGACAGGGAGGTAGGAGCAGATGACTTAGATTTGGGAAGGAGTCTGCATGTTACGCTCAGTGTCTGAAAATTCAGTGGGGAGTGGTAAGATCCAATTTGTGTTCTAAAATGAGTAGAGAATTGGGGACTGAGTGGGGTGAGAGTGCTTGGTATATGAGAGCTAGACTGTTTACAAGCATCCCAGGAGGAAAAAAAAAAACACAGGCCTTTATCTGAACTATTGTGAGAACATTCACAAGTCATTTACCCTCTCAGGGTTTATTTTTTCCTACTGGTAAAATGAAAGCATAAAATGATTTGTTTCAACAAGTCATTTCAAGTATCCCTTCTAGTTTCAAAATTCTACAACTTAAAGTGAAACCACCGCCTTCATATTATTTCCTTATGTATTGAAAAATCAAGTGAACTTTTTTTTTTTTTTTGAGATTTTTGCTATAGGGCATGTGCACTCACTGGAGAGGTAGAAAGACAGAAAGTGAGAAATCACCCCGCAGGGGATATGGCCACACCACAATCCCTTCTCCTCCAGTCTCCTCTCGGGATTTTGGACAGGCACACATATGCACCTGGCATGAGTTTTAAGCCTTTGGGCCTGGGACTCGAACTATAGCTAACTACGTGGGAGTCTAGCAATGTAACCATTATACCATCTGCTGGTCCCTAAGTGAACAGTTTTGAGGACTATCTCTAGTTCTTTTCTAAAAGTACCTTAATTAGTGGAAAAGTCAAACTAAGACATGGTACTCTCCTGAAGCTCATACTCTTGAACCTTCCCAAGACAGTTTCTTATTAAAACTTGAATTTCATTAACAGCTGTCAGGGTAGAACCCCTTCCTTCAGACTGTTTCCATCAAGCTGTCAGTGGTTTGTAATAATTTGCTTTACAAGATAGTAGAAGACTCCAAAAGTTTGTTCCTAGATGGTTTGGTATTGGGTTTTTTGGTTGATAAAAAAAAATAAATAAATAATGATTTGGAGAACCAGCAGTTAGCATAATGGCTATGTCGCTGGACTCCCACATAGTCGACCGCGGTTCGCGTCCTGGGCCCAGTGGCTTTAAACTCACACTGGGCATGTGTGCGTGCGTGCCCAAGATCACAAGAGGAGAATAGAGGAGAAGGGATTGTGGCGTGACCATCCCCCCTGGGGGTGATTTCTCGCCTTTTTATTTTCTGTCTCTATGTCTCTCTCTGTCTGTCTGGCAAGCGCACGTGCCCTATAGAGAAAATCTCTCCAAAAAAAAATAAATAAATAAAAATAATGATTCTAAGACCATATGATGGGGGTCACAACATGGCATGCAGCTGATAAAGGCAGTGTATTCCAAATAAACCAGGTGACAAGAATAAGAAGCCACTTATAGCTAAAGTGTCACTCACGGGATCGGGTTCCCTTCCATACACCGAGTCCCGAAGCCAGGGTCTTTGGTGAGGGCCTTCAAGAGCTCCTGTGTGCCCATGTCCTCAGGGGCATCATTACTGTGGGAACATGAGAGGCAGCTAGTTCAGCAAGTCATTCAAAACAGTGTGTAATTCTTGAGTCCAATCCCCTGCCCTCAGCATAGTAAATAGCCTTGGTCTCCTTGAACTTTCCTTTCTCCCATCTTTCACAAAAGACAGACATACCTGACAAATGTGTACTGCTCATTGTACATCCAAGGCTGAAGTTCCAGGCTGGGGTACTTGCCAAAAGGTGGTACAATCAGGCTGAACACCAGGGCAATGCAGACAAACACAGCTGGCAGGACGATCTATAACCAGAGAGTAGAGAAGAGGCACAGTAGAAAAAGGCAGGAGTTAGAAACAAGGCCAAGGGCTAGCTCCTTGCCAGTACAGCCAGCCTCTCCCGCCACCCAGCACAGGAATCTGAAAAACAGGAACCAGAGCTGACCTCCACTGAGGCATTCATGGCAGCTGGAACACAATGGAGCCTGAGGCAGCACAAGACCAAAGGCTAAAACCACCTGGTAGAGGCACTAAACTCAGAACCTCACAGTGTAAATAGTGATCATGTGTCAGGCAGAAGTAGAACACTGAGTCCTGCCCTTGTCCCCCTGAAAACTGAGAGAGACCACATTGGGCTATTAGTCCAGGTTGGCTCAGAGGAAGGCAAAGAGAATAAGCCCTGGACCATGAGCTAGAAAACCGGAATCCTGGTTCTCTACTACTAATGTACCCATGCAAAGTCAGTTCCCCTCTGGCCTCGGTTTCTCTTCTATAATCTAGGAACCAAGAACAGGTGGCCCACTGGGATCCCACACTCTGATGAAGCTACCTGTTCAGCAATGGCTCCAATCAGAAACAGCAGCAGTTACTGTCTCCATGATCTTCTCAAAAAGCATAATTTTATAAATCCTTTTTGAACCTCTTCAAACTTTCCACCCACACCTTCTCTGAAAACAATGATTTGTCCACATTTAATAAATCTAAAGCTCCCTCCATTTATTCCTAAGAAATTATCCTTTAAGAAGGTAAAAGGTTCAGACCCAGCTACAGTAGCACAGGAAGTAGGGAGCTACTGCACTAGGCTGGGGTAAATTGGGAAGCCCAGGTTCAAATCGTGGACCACTCTACACAGGCCGAACATGGCAGCAAATACCTGTAATCCTAGCTAACTGTGAGGTTGGGGCAGAGAATCTCATTGGTGAGACCGTGTCAAGAATATTTCTCTCTCCCTTTCATTCCCTCTTTCTGTGTCTCCCTTCTCTTGCTCCCCTGCCTCCCACCTCTTATTAAACAAAAACAAAATGGGACCAGCGGTTGGCATTCCGGCTATGTCGCTGGACTCCCCTGAAGTCGACCACAGGTCAAGTCCCGGACCCGGTAGCTTCAACTCATGCCAGGCGTGTGTGTGTGCATGCATGCCCAAGATTCTGAGAGGAGAATGGAGGAGAAGGGATTACAGAATGGCGATCCCCGCTGCGGGGTGATTTCTCGCTTTCTGTTTCTCTGTCTGTCTCTGTCTTTCTGGCGAGCGCATGCATCCTCTAGAAAAAAACGCTCCAAAAACCAAAAAAAAAAAAACCCCAAAAACTTGAAGATTCAAATGATGACCCTGGTTTTAATATTCAGGGATTTCAATGCAAAACATCTTTATTGAGTGAATACTTCTTTTGGAAAGTACTATATTGAGAATTATCTAAATTATCATTACTACCCTGTTTTTTCATTATTTATGGTGGTATAATCATTATTACAAATAAACACAACAACAAAGCAGCAGAGAGACCAAGTAATTTTCTCATGGTCAAATAATCATTAAGTAACAGAACTAGAATCCAAATCCAGGTCCATCTGCTCCAAACTCAGTCTCCTAGCATTATCCATACAGTCTGTAGGAAAGCACTCCTTACAAACCCTTTTTGTATGTTTATTGATTTCATAAAGTAAAATAACATTAACCCTTCTAACCAGAGAAGTTAGCATGTGAACACTGACATGAAGGCAATAATGTAACGTGTCTTCCCTATTTGCCAATGATATTCTGATCTCTCTGGTTGTATTTTCTATTGGTTTGACATAAACATCAACTCAGAGAAAAATCAATTTTATAGTAAGTTCCTATGTGAAATGCATCTGAGCATAGCATCTCTTGTGTTATGAAAAATCCACCCAGCCAGTTTTTCTAAACTTTGTCCTTTCTATGCTAATTGCTAAAATAAAAGCAACACACACACACACAAACACACACACAATTAAGCATGTGCTAATGTTCCTCATTATAACCACTTATTAATTTTTGTCCCCATAACAACCCTTTATCCTATGTACTATTATTATCCCCATTTAACAGATGAGGAGATTGAGGTACAGAGACATAATTTGCTAGCAGATGGATGAATGGAAAAGAGCAGAACTGGGACTGAACTACAGGTGATCTGGCTACATCTTGACCATGATACCTTCCTGCCTTCACTGGTCAGAGAGCCTACAGCCCACTCATGAAGCCAGAGTCCCTGGCCTCCATCCTCACATCTTACCTGAGCGAAAAATCCTTTCCGACTCCGTTTGGCAATCAGCAACCTCTTCCATAAAAGAGCCACAAACTGTTGCTGTGTGAGTTTCCAGCCCTTGACCTGGTAGGAGCCTTTGCCATCCATCCCACTGAGAAAATCTGTCTCTCTGGATTCTGCAAGAAGCCAAAACTGAAGGTCACCTGTTATCTGAGGTATTTTTGAAATCACCACGCTCCTTTCACTGGCGTGTTGAGTAAACATTTTGGAGGCTTGTGTCTGAAGCTAAAAGGATCTCAGAAGCAAAGGGCTTTCATGAAAAATCTCTGTCAAAGAAAAGTTATGACTCAAAATGTCCAATAGTAGCAACCTCTGCCTCTCAATCCTTGTCTGATGAGCATGAAAAATAAAGATGCCTTCAGGCAACTGAAGAGAGACGTTCACACATAACTAGGTATTATAGCAAGTCATTCAGATACTTCAAGCCATCATCAATTTCTTATGAATATTCTAAGAAACTGGCCTCATCTGGATGCATACTAGTGAACCTGAACTGCAGTGCCAGAAGCCATGTAGCTGACCTGGGTTTAGACCCCTGGGTTGGCCTGAAAATAAGCCAGTCCTGCGTGCAGGTGCCAGAAAGCTTTAAAAGTTGGAGGGCCTGGGAAAGAGGACTGCAGTATGATGAGACCCTGTCAAAAGTGTTCCACTCTCTCCCTCTGTGTCCTTCTTCCCTTCTTATATACTCTCTCTCTCTCTCTCATGCATGCTCGCTGTTCTGAATAAAATAAACTTCAAGAAAAAAAGAATATTCTATAAAACAGGCATGAAGTCAGGCTGGCATACCTGAGAACACACAATGGCAATTAGTCTCCCATCTATTATATTTTTGTGAAAAAATGAACATATTTTAAATGACCTAAGTATGATGATATCTGAAGTCAGAGAGCATAAGAGTTATACACACATATGGCCAGAACTGGAAAAATAAGACAGTTTTTCTATTCTTATAAATGGTATAGAAATCCTTGTCTTAACTGAATAATTCCTAACTTGGGTACTTCGACAGCTCATTGATATTTGTTTGCTTTCTTACCACCCCTCTCCATTTAAATCAAACACACAAGGACACACTTATTCAAATTATCTAACTCTTGGGCCGGCAGGTGGCATGGTGGTTAAAGGCGCTGGATTCCCACATGGCCACCCGTATTTCAAGTCCCAGACCTGGCAGCTTGCTCTCTCACTTTCTTTCTTTCTTTTTCTTTTTCTTTGTCTCTCTCTGGCCAAATTTTAAAAAATAATCATAATAATAACAACAAATGGAATTAAATAAAAAATAAATATTTTTAAAATATGTAAATCTAAGAGTACAACTAACTCTGAAAGCTAATTTATCTCTCTTGACTTTCAAAATCATTTATTCAACAAATATTTATTCAACAATTAAAACCTAATATATTCAGGAAAATGGGACCCTACAGAAAAGGCAAATAAATGGGTCCAGAGTATTGAGATATCATCTTTTTACATGTATCTTGAGAGAAAAATATCAACTATTAGGCCATCAGGAAAGTCATGACATATTTTTCTATGCTTTCCTATGCAAAAATGTGTCATGACTTTCCAGACCACCCAATAAATAAAGTGATGAGAATAGGCTCTTTCAGGTTTGGTCATATGGACACTTCCCTTTGGACACTATAGGGATCTATCATTCTAGCTAAAGTCCAGTGAAAGAAAACAGCCGAGAAAAGCACACTAGAGAAATTCACATTCAAACAACGGAATACAGATCTTGCTCAAACTAACCTGGGTCTATGTCAGAATCATTTGGATCAACGGCATCATCTTCTGTGAATGGGCGAAGACAACTCTGCTTGTCTCCAAAGACCCGTCTATTTCGTCTTGCTGGCAAAGTACCATCTAAGGTCAAAAGAAAGGAATCCCATATTTTATTTTATTTCTAACAAAACAAATGTTCACCACAGATTTAAAAAAAAAATACGAACAAACAAAAAACCGTACACCAAAAAGTGGAATAAACAATTTAAGGGGAAAAGTACACCAATGAGCTAGAATAGCCTGCAACAGACACTTTTAAAGAGTGTGCAGTCCCCACTCAAGAGAGTTACCTGAGGTCTCAGCATCCACCCCACTCTCTTCAGCCACTTTAAGGAATATCTGGGGGGAGAGGGAAAAAAGCAGGTGAGAACATTGTAAGTATCAACATTATGAAAGTGGCCATTATTTCTATGATTATCATGCTACTAAATGGCAGTTCAACCCTTAAGACAAAAAAAGTAGAGCCATATTTATTAATAACATTTGTCAGAGTCACTTGGAAGGAAAGCTGTTTTTATCAGAGAATATTTCTTTGGTAGTGAGAGCAATCAATCCAGACAATCATTTTCAAATTAAAGCTATGACATTAGGACACTGCAACAAAAGAAATTTGTTCTGAACCTATAAGTCAAGGGACTTCTTTCAGGACAGTGACCCCAAATCTGTGAGTAGGCTAGCACTGTAATAAGTTATCCAAGACAGAATGATCAGGAGGAAGTGGGCTCCCTTTTGCTAGAAATATTATGGTAGAGTTTCAAACATCAGGAGAATCTGAAAGAGATCAATGCTTTCCAAGCTCTATTCTGTAGACCACTGTGTAAAAAGCATGCAATAAAAGCACAGACTTCAAGGCCTTACCTCTAGACATTCTGATTCAAAGATCCTAGAGCTGAGCCTTAGAATTCTTACTGTCAGCAATATCCCCAGATCATTCTACTGTACTATCAAGCATGGGAACCACTGGGCCAGATAACTTTTATATCCTTTCCATCCCTCAACATCTGTGATATAGTATCTCTAAAGGGAGGTATTGCTACATGTAAAGAGGCATAGACTTTGAAGACCAAAATCCCTGATTCTGAATCTCAGTTAGCATCCCTAAGGGTTATTTTTTTCTAACTTGTTATGAGAATTAAATGAGGTTGCAATATTTAAAACACACACACACTAAGCTCAGTACCTGGCACAAGTAGACTGTCCTATATATTGGTCATGTTGTATACATCAAAGTTCAGTTGACACCTGGCCATGACACATCGGGGAGAAATTCTAATACTTCTTTTCTGCTATCTCCCATGACAATATTAAATGGGTAAATGAGGGTAAACATTTCTCAGATTTCCATGACCTAAAACCTCAAATGACCAACTCCATTCTATCTGGCCATGTCTGTCAGGGATTATTGGCCCTGCTATATTCTGACAGTAATCCACTTAACATACTTCTTCTAGGGTAGTCTCTGAGATGCCATAACTAGAGATGCCCAGGTCTGAGAGCCGGTCATCAATCTCATGGAAGAGTTCCACAAAGGCTCCCTCCTTAGCAGCTTCATACGGCAGCACGTAGGTCAGCTCATGCCCAATGTCCTCCACCAGGCGGGCTTCCGATACATGCTTCCTGATGAGGTTAGAGATAGCAGAAACATCTGCAGGGACAAGAACAGAGAAATGGTTCAATCATCTTAGAGGCTCCCAGGAAGGGCCGGCCATCCCCCACCCTCTCCTTGTGTCTACTCAGAAGCCTGTTGCTTGTACACCAGACCTGCTCGAGATTCATTTGTAACATGTTCGTCTCTGGCCTGAGAGTACCATGGAGACAAGAACCATGTCTTATTTACCTTTGTATCATCAAAGTCAGTCACATTGTAGGTGCTCAATGTATCTTTCATGAATGAATGAATGAATGGATGGATGGATGGATGAATGGATGGTTGGATGACTTCATGAGGTTGAAAACCTAGGTCTAATGCCTAGGATACAAGATTCTTCAGTGGAAAAAATGATTAAAGGAAACTTAAGATGCTTTGCTATCCCCTAAACTTTTGAAAGATGTGCTCAATAAAAGGTTAACCTAACAGTTTACAGAAATAGAAATATTCTTGGGAAAAGCCAGCTATTAGAACAGGCCAGGGTCAAGACTTCTGTTCCATGTGTCACTGGTGATACTGGCTTCCTATTCATAACACCTGAGGAAAACCTGGAGGACTATTCCTGATATCCTGGCTGTAAGTCTCCTTATTTTCTGATTTTAAGCCTCTTCCCATTGGCTTACCCACAGCTCCTCATCCTTGGTCCCCAGTGTCCAGCCAGATCTACTTCCCTAAGAGATTTCCCAAACCCTAGTTTTTCAGGTATCTAGGACACAGCCCTGCCAGCCCTCAGACCAAGCCCCGGGCTCCCCAGCAAGCATCAGGCCAACCCCCACCCCCCCAAGCTGCACCCAGCTCCCACAGCCACCCAGCCCAGCCCAGCCCAGCCCAGCAGCAAACCTTGAGTCAGCGCCACCAGCCTCTGCACCTCTCCTCCTCTGCCTCCACTCTGCCCAGCTGGGGGAAGCTCAGGCACGACCTGAATAAGAAACCCCAGAATCCTTACCGATGGTCAGCGTGTCACTTTCATGGTCGCTGCCCAGGCCAGCATCAGAACTGCTCTGAGAAACACTGTCCTCCTGATGGCAAAGAAGGAGGTGAGAATGGGTCAGGGACCAAGCAAGATAAAGCCACCACAACCTTCGCCAGGGAGGACTTCCAAAAAGCTGTACTGTGTAAGGACTGGCGCATGCAATTGGCAGCCCTGGCTTCTGAGGCAACTGCCTAACATGTGTTCTGTGTGGACATCCCTGCTTCCATAGGTGAAAAGTTGAGAAGCAGATTGTCAACACAACTATGGCTGTCCCCAAATGCTCAACCAGGCATTTTTCAACCATGCCAGGTATTGGATTTACTTGGTTACTGGTCTAGCTAGTTCAGTGCTTCTCAAGTTTTAATGTGTGTTCAATCAATTGAGGACCTTGTTAAAATGTAGAGTCTGATTCAATATGTCTGAGTTGGACCCTAGTTGCTAGGTTTCTAACAAATTCCCAAGTAGCCCTGATGCTGCTTGTCCTGAGACTATACTTGAATAAGTAAACATATGAGATACCCTAGTTTCAACATCTCGTTCATGTACTATGATACAGAGAAAACATACCTGATTACTGGATTCTGGTCCTACCTCTGTGATTTACTTGTTAGTAATATGTTACCAAATCCCTACAAGCCTCTCCTCTGTTACCTGGGATAATAATTATAATACCTTCTTCCCAAAGTTTAAAAAAAGTTTGTAGGGTCAGCAGATGGTATAGCAGTTACAACACTGGACTTCCACATGGCCAACCGTGGTTTGAGTCCCAGACTCAGTGGCTTGAAAGTCATGCCAGGCACATGTGCGTGTGTGCCCAAGATCCCAGGGGGAGAATGAAAGAGAAGGAATTGTGGCATGGCCATCTCCCCAGAGGGTGATTTCTCACTTTCTCTCTCACTGTCTCTTTCTGTCTCTGTCTAGTGAGTGCATATGCCCTGTGGCAAAAACATATTTTTTTTCTTTAAATTGCTATTTTGTAGTTTAAGTTAAGGTTAATGAGATTAAAAAGTAATAAGCAGGAATAGCAAGGCATTCTGTTGCCAAAACTCTCACCACTTGGGAAGTTTATTTTCTTTGACATAATAAAATCCTCTTAGGATCTTCTCTATCACTCATTGTGTCTCCAAAGGAGAAAGGAAATGGGATTCAACAGAACTAGCACAATGGAAACACAAGTTTCCTGAGCTATCCATGTGTAAAGTATGACATGATTCCAAAGTGACCTCAGGGCAGGAAGCTGGGAGTTGATGCCTCGAAATGACAGAATGGAATAGAAGTGGACAAGCCAAGTCACAGCCAATTCTGCCTGCCAGGACCCCTCATCAGCCCAGTACTGGGACTGCAGCTCACCTTCTTCAGGTACGACACAGTGCTACTGCTGCTTCTGCAGGAACTGAGGGAGGATTCCACATCTTTCTTGACTAGGGTCAGGTAGTATCCTGTTCCTAACTGGTTCTTCAGAAACAGGGAGGAGCCCACACAGCACAGCTTCCCATGGGAAATGATGGCAATCCTGTCCCCCAGGATGTCTGCTTCATCCATGTGATGCGTAGAGAGAATAATGGTACGGCCTACCAAGTACAAATACAAAGATGTGGGACAGGTGAAGGCTTGTCAGTTCTCAATAAGCATAATGGAAGAGACTACAGAGATATTAGCAGGAGCATGGGAGAAAGACGTAGAAGCCACCTTCCACCTATGTGGTCACAGAATGGCAAAGCTTGAGCTCAGCTACTTCATTTTCATAGGAATAAGTAGAACAGTATCTGGGAACTTACTACATGCCAACTGCTAGGCTGGTGGTTCATGTACATTCTCATTTAACTTCCCTTGTGAAGTAAGCGCCACTAATATTATAAATAAGGAAACTGAGGCAAGTGAAGTGATTTTCCCAAAATTGCAGGGTCAGCTAGAACTGCTGCCAAACTGGTGCTCTAACACTTTAATACAACCTATTAATATCTGTAAGCAGACTGCCAATTGTGTCCCTACACTTCTCCCTTCCATTCATTTCCTCATCCACTCTTTCAACAAACATAAATTTAGTGTACCATGCTGGTAACAAAAACATGAACAGCACCTCTGCTCTTAGGAATCTCAGTCTAGAGGGGAATGTAATTTTAATACATATGCAGATGCTATGCCAGAGGTGGCATTGGGGGCCACAGGGGTACTGGGGGGATGCCCTTTATTCCCATTTCTCTTCTTCTTGCAGATAATGTAGCATAAATTTTTAATGTCTTAGAAACCAGACCTCTAGCCTCTATACCACAGACAAGCACCGAGCTTCCCAAAAGGAAATTCCACATTTTCCTTGAGAAGCAATTCTACTGCCCTAGTAAGTACAATCATGAGATAATACTGTCCTACGTCTCAAGAGCCGCCCCCCTCACCCAGTCCATGACTCAGAGTAAATGCACCCCTGTTACCTTGTCGGTATTTCAGCAGCAATTCCCATATTCCCCTGCGGGAGTAAGGGTCCACGCCTGCTGTGGGCTCATCCAGAATGACAACTTTGGATCCACCCACAAAGGCCAAGGCTACAGACAGCTTTCTCTGCATTCCACCTATAAGAAGAGGGAGAGACAAACTCCAGAACCACCCTCAGAAAGTGAGTGAACACAGAGGTGGGGAAAGACAAACAGAGGCACTCCCCACACATCCCCACTGTGTGTCTAGTTGGAAGAGGAAGAGAGAGGGAATGGGGAAAGTGCCTTCAGGCCTCACCTGACAATTGACTTGTTTTGCTTTTCAACTTGCTGGGCGGCAAACCAACATCCAGGGCCATCTGTTCCATCTCTGCTTTCACATGCTTCTCTGAGAGTCCTTTTAGACGAGCGTAGAACCAGATGTGCTCTTCGACAGTCAGCCTGTGGACAGAGGGGTAGATAAGCTCTGGACCCTGTAGGGTGCACCAGAATAGAGTGTCTTCTGACCCAGAAATGGAAAAAAAGGGTACATTTTTCTTCCTTCACTCCCTCTTTATGTTTTTTTTTTCCATTTAAAAATGAAGAAAAAGGAAAAAAAAAAGCTTCAGGAAGGATTCAAGGTAGAACAACAGTGAACAACCAACCACATGAGCTGTTCTGGACATCAAAGCTGAAATATAACAGATCACTTCCAACCTATTCTCAACAGGCCTGGCTACTATGCACCAGGTGGTTGGAAATTCAAATGTCCAGCTTCCAAGATGTCATATTCAAAGGACATTCTCCATAGCCCCATCAATTAAGAAGTTCACTTGCCATGAACATGGAGCAGCCCCTCTGACCTTCACAGGACCTCAGACTAAAGAAGGGAGGTTCCTGAAGGCCACCTAAGTCCAAGCTGCTCAATGTAGATATGAAGAAGTTGAAACCACCAGGGGGAAGGGCCTTGCCCAAGGCCAGAAAGCATAGGTCTTTTTCTATTCAACTATGAGGGCTCCCTGGGGGCCTGATTTGCTGATGGGGCAACCTGAGTGGGAGCAAATATCTTGAGCATGAAACACAAGGCCATTATACCACAGGCTCTGAAACTGCCAGGTCTAGGTGTTAGAGCTGCACCAGGCCTCAGGGAGGACTTCTGGGGAAAAGGATGGGTTAAAAGGCTCTCCAGAATGACAACAATGGAGAAGCCTGTGTTCCAAGCTCCTGTCCACCGCTAGGTGAATGTGACATCTCTCACCCACCAATGCAGCTCCTGCTTTTTCTTAGTTCAAATGATAACTAGGTCTCAATCTACGCAGGGAGGCAACGTCTACCATCTAAAAAAGGGGTCAATAATTAAGACCCAACCACCCATGACTCCATGACACACCCATCCAGAAAGAGCCTCCTTTTCTCATGTGCTGCCAGTACTTACATGTCAAATAGCACGTTATGCTGGGGACAGACCCCCAGGTTCTGCCGAATGATGTTCATCTCAGACCGAATGTCTTTCCCCAGGATGTAGGCAGTGCCCGAGGTGGGAGGGAACAACCCAGTTAGGATTGACCTGAGAATAAAAATTAGAAAGTTGGCCCAATCTTACCTCTGTATGTGCCACTCCAAGCTACAGAGACAACAGAAGACACCAACCCTCTTCCTCCCATTCCTTTCTAGTGGGCCTTAACAAGGCAAAGAAGTCTTTAGCTTGAGTGGATAACTAGGATTGGGCCAACATGTTGGAAATGGCAACTTCAGTACAAGCAGTTTTAAAATAAAACTTTGAATTTACAATAGAAAGTCCTACATGGCCAACTACACAGTCCAAGTCCTAGATGTGGCAGCTTGAAAAATACAATGGGCATATAGGCATGCCCAAAATCTTAAAAAAAAATAAAAAATAGAGGAGAAGGGATGGCAGTGTGACAATTCCCCATGGAGGGCGAGGGGTATTTTCTCGCTCTCTCTCTCTCCCTCTCTCTCTCTCACCAGCAAGTGCACATTCCCTCTGGCAAAAACAAAAACAAAAATTCCTAATATCACATCCATAAAAAATAGACAAACCATAACAAATTATTCTTCAAAAATAAAATAATGTTGTGTTGGGTGTTGGGATTTTTAAGGACCTTTTAAAATTTTTTTGCAACGTTCATAATGTATTTATTTTGCATTAAAAATAAAAAGATAAAATAAAAACAGGAGAAGAATGTCACCACCAAAGATGGATGGGTGATCACGGTGAAAGTCTTTAAGGTAACCCTGGTGTTTGGTGGCCCTTGCTCTCTTCTGAAGTTGCCAGTTCTAAGGTCCTCGTAGGTCCCAGGAAAAGCAATCATTCCTAACTTCCCAGCTGCTTCTCACATCTGCTTAGTGATAGAGTTTCTAGAAATTACCACCTCCCTCCAACATGTCTCATCATTCTTCTAAATTCTTGCTTTATTATTCTGACCAAATCAACTCAAAATGAAAGTGAGCAGAGTGGTCATGGCCTCCGGTTCCAAGAGCATTACAGAATTCTGAGAACTACTAAATATGGGAAAAGTCATCAAAGTGTCCCAGCCTATTTTAAGCTGAAGAAATAATATCTAGCATAAACTAGCACATGGAAAGCAGTCTGACAATTGGGTGATATGTTCACACTCATCAGTTCTGTATATGCTCCACCCCTGCCCCAGTGACCATTGTCATTTCCTTAGGTATGAATTTCTAACTACACTGCAGAACTTCCTGAGGTTGAATCTGTGAGAGCCACACCCTCTTCTTACATGGTGGTCGTTTTCCCCGCTCCGTTGTGGCCCAGGAAAGAGGTGATCTGGCCTTCATAAAAATTCAGTGCCAGGCCATCAACAGCCACCTTCATGCCATCTCGGTAAACTTTTACCAGGTTCTGAATAGACACGCCCAGCTTCAGGTGAGTGGGTTCCTCCTCCATGCAAACTGTGAGGAAAGGGAAGATAGGCATGAACTCAGAGAAAACACTGATGAGTACAGGATAAAGAGGGGCGGTTCATGCTCATACTTTCAGCCTATCTTCTCTCCATGGCCACTCTGATTTCACAGACAGGCAGGAGACTATAAATACTTTGGGGGCCTATTTGGACACTGAAGTTAGTAATGGGAATACAATGGCAAAGGAACATTCATGGTCTACTGTGAGAGAGAGATTTCACAAGCAATTAAAATATAGAATGTTAACATCTGTTTTAAACACACTTCTATTGGGACCAGCAGATGGCATAATGGGTACGTTGCTGGGCTCCCATGTGGTCAACTACAGATTGAGTCCTGGGCCCACCAGCTTTAAAGTCACAAGGGTGCATGTGTGTGCATACCCAAAATTCTGAGAGAAGAATAAGAGGGGATTGCAGCATGGCCATCCACTCCTCGGGGTGGTTTCTTACTTTCTATATCTGTGTGGAATACACATGCCCTATAGCAAAAATCTCTCTCTAAAAAACAAACAAACAAAGAAACAAAAACTTCTATGGCCAGTCTCTGGCATGATGGTTAAGGTGACTGGATCTCACTCATATGGCCAACTTCACAGTTTGAGTCCCAGAACTGGTGCCTTGAAAAATATGCTGGCTATGTGTGTATGTATGCCCAAAATCCCAAAAAGAGGAAGAAAAAGGAGGAGATGTGATTATAGTGTGACTATTCCCCCTGGTGGGTGCTTACTCATTCCTCCTCCTTCTCTATCTCTAGTAAGCATATGCTCTTTGGCAAATTAAAAACAAACAAACAATAAACACATGTAGGCCCAGTTGTGAGATGCAAGGTCCTGCAGTGCTAGAATCCACACATAAGACAGGGGCTCAGTTCCCAGATTGGCCTATATACAACAGAAGAGCACTTCACTTATGTCTGTAACCCTGGCTGGCTAGGAGAGGCTGAAGGAGCATTACAGCATGAGACCCTGTTGAGAGTCTCTTTCTCTCTTTCTCTCTCTCTCTCTCTCTCTCTCTCCTCTCTCTCTCTCTCTCTCTCTCTCTCTCTCTCTCCCCCCCCCTCCTCCCTCCCTCACTCTCTCTTTTGCAAAAAAATTAACTTAAAAAAATGCATCTAATGCATCTAAATGCCATGGAACTGTGGTGCATCCATACCATGGAATACTACTCAACAATGAAAAGGAATGAACTGTTGATATGTATCAAACTTTGGATAGATCCCAAGGAGATTATGCTGAGGGGGAAAAAAAAGCCCCATCTAAAGGTTACCCATTAAATGGTTTCATTGATGTGACATTCTGGAGATAACAAAACTGTAGAAATTGGAAATAGATTAGCAGTAGATAGGTGTCAGGGATTAAGGAGGAAGGACTGTGGCTGTGGCTATTAAGTGGTAGCATGAGGAAGCCTTGGGACACTTTTATCCACACATGTGATAAAATTGTACAGAACTAAATACATAATTGTGTGAGCACATGAAAACTGATGAAATACAAAGATCTACAAGTTGTACCAATGTCAACTGCCTGATCTTGATAATGTACTATCTTTCATCTGGTGTCACCATTGGAGAAACAGCGAAGAATACAAAGGAACCCCTTCAAACAATTGTGAGTTCTTATGACTCTGTATAATTATTTTAAAACAAAAAGGTTTTAAACCAAATGATGGTCTCATTTTCTCTTATGGTTGAGTAGTATATGCCATAGTAGATACATGTCATGATAATAATAATAAAATAAAATAGTTTTCACTACATATGGCTACTACCCATAGGTACAGCAACAGCAGTGTAATTAGTAACACCTTAACTAAAAAAAAAAAAAATGGTTTTGTTTGTGTTAAGACTGTCATGGAAGCTCAGGGGAGGGAATGAGTGAGTGACTACCTGAGAACTCAAAGGTGTTGCTTAGGGGACAAGATACTGAATGAGATCATGAAGAGCAAAGAGGAGTTTAGAAGGAAGGTAAGCTGCAGAAAAGGTCTTCCTGTGAGAGGAAGCAGTACATACAAAGGCATGAAAGTGTGGAAGAACACGACATGTTCCAGCATGTGAGTGGTTCTAGGTAACAGAAACAGGAGCTGGGAGTCGAAGTAGAGGGAGGGTCGTGGGAAGAGCAGGAGAAGCAGCTAGAACAGTAGGCAAGTGTGCCATAGAGAGGACCATCGAACTTTGACCTCTGACAACCCAGAAAAAGGCACAAAAGAGATCAGCAGAAGAGGGACAAAGAAGGACCATCGAACTTTGACCTCTGACAACCCACAAAAGAGATCAGCAGAAGAGGGACAAAGGAGCATTCATGGTCTACTGTGAGAGAGAGATTTCACAAGCAATTAAAATATAGAATGTTAGCATCTGTTTTAAAAACACTTCTATTGGGACCAGCAGATGGCATAATGGGTACGTTGCTGGACTCCCACGTGGTCGAAGGTCTTCCTGTGAGAGGAAGCAGTACATACAAAGGCATGAAAGTGTGGAAGAACACGACATGTTCCAGCATGTGAGTGGTTCTAGGTAACAGAAACAGGAGCTGGGTGTCGAAGTAGAGGGAGGGTCGTGGGAAGAGCAGGAGAAGCAGCTAGAACAGTAGGCAAGTGTGCCATAGAGAGGACCATCGAACTTTGACCTCTGACAACCCAGAAAAAGGCACAAAAGAGATCAGCAGAAGAGGGACAAAGAAACATTCATGGTCTACTGTGAGAGAGAGATTTCACAAGCAATTAAAATATAGAATGTTAACATCTGTTTTAAAAACACTTCTATTGGGACCAGCAGATGGCATAATGGGTACGTTGCTGGACTCCCACGTGGTCGACTACAGATTGAGTCCTGGGCCCACCAGCTTTAAAGTCACAACGGGTGCATGTGTGTGCATACCCAAAATTCTGAGAGAAAAATAAGAAGGGATTGCAGCGTGGCCATCCACCCCTTTGACTCCTTAGGGAGGAAGACATACTGAGCACAAATAACCTGAACAAAAAAATTGGACCAAAAACCCAGAAGGTAGACCCTTTGCTAAACTATAGGCCTCTCTGCCTACAGTAAGGAGCCAAGAGAGAATTAGGGATCTGGTAATGAAAGTTGAGAACACCAAGAAGCAAATGCGCAGTCGCTCGGTGCCAGCCTTCACAGACCCATATACAAATCACCATGGTGAGGCTAGGCTGCCAACAATCAGGGTTGTCTTAACCTCTTCCAGCTTGTTAGACTAGCACAAAAAGTATGTATGTGGGGTAGGGTGGGTGGGTGAGGGATGGTTATTGAGATCAAAAGACACTTCCTTAGAAGTCAAGAAAACAAAGGAAATATCCCTCAAGAACCCAGCCAGGAACAACACTGGACATTAATAGCAATGGCAGAATCTGGAAAGGGTTGGTGATTTCACTGCTCCCTAGAATGATGTTACAGTCTTTTAAAGGGCTCAGGAGCCATCACTTGCCCCGACAGCTGGCAGGGAGAGCAGCATTAGGTTAAGGAGAGGGCAGGACAGCAGCACTTACTTTCTGACTTTCCCTTCTGGCTCGACCCAGGGTGGCTTTTCTCGTCGCTTTCCTCCCCAAACCAGTAGGACTTGGTGCAAGGAAAATACCAGGGTCTGGGAATTCCATATTGACCTGAAAGCAAAACACAGGCATGAGCCAAGCTCAGCATCATCCCAGTATTCCCAAGGTTTCCCAGCCAGATCTATTCTCTCCTTGACACACCATTTAGAAAACAACTTGGAATAGAGATGAAGAAAGAGAGAGCTAGTATTTGCTGAAACCTACTATGTACGACATACATTCCACACCTCTCTGAGTCTTCCCAGCAACCCCACAAGGCAGGTGCCACCCCCATTAGAGATGGGGAAACTGAGAAAGAAGTATTCTACCCAAAGTCAATTAGTCAGTAAGTTAGAGACTTGGGATTTAAATCCAGAATCTGTAGAGGTAATACATATTTCACACATGCCTCATTAGAAGAGTCAGAAGGCGAACCAAATGGAGGTAAACCTTGCTTTCTCAAAGTTTGATCTTACGTGAAAATGTATTCCAAGACAAGTTCATCTTGGACTTGGTCAAGATGATTTATTAAGGAAAGTATCAAATGAATTGTTACTGAATGTTAATTTGATTAAATCATAGGCAAGGGCTTAGAGCTATTCTATTTTATTAACAATTTATACTCCAACAACACAACCTTCCCTAGTGGTACACCCTCTGAGGACACAGAGAGAACTGGGTCATCTTGGGAGGAATCTTCTGAGCTTACTGACCCAGAGAAACCCAACTGGGTTCAGCTCCAAGTACCATCGCTTACAGCTCTGTGACCACAGGTAAGTCACCTAACTTCTTGGAGTCATTTCTCTCATTTGAAAAATACTGGTTATAATGGTAGCTACCTTGGAGTGGCCTTATGACGATTAATTGGACCTAAGTATATAGAACACTGTGCACATACTTGGCACCCAGTACTCAAAAAGGAGTGCTCTAGGAGTAGTAACAATTGTACTTTCAGCATCAGCTGCCCCTCCTTGGACTACTTATCTGCCATGGATCTAAAGACTAAGCCACTTCCAGTGGAACTCCACAAGCTAAAGAAACTCCAGCACAAGGAAAGTCCTGCAGCTAGAAATCCTATTTCCCTAACAGCTTGCCAAAGCAGTGTGGAAGCTCAGTGTACCTGGAAAGACAGCTTCAATGTACCATGTCATCACCCCATAGAGGAAGGCGTCAAACAGCATCATGGAGACTGAAGTGGTGAGATTGAAGCCATCTCCCTCCACGGGGCTCTCGAAGAGGTTGTCCCATTGCACCCCAATGCCCTGCTCCTCAAAAAGGGCAAAGTATTCACAGCCAAAACCAAAAGCCACAGGAGACAGCAGACTCTGTGAGAAAAAAAGTACAAGCCACTTATCCATTTCCTTGTCTCTCTCATTTTTCTATTACTTTGAATGTACATTACAACTGGAGAAATTTGAATTTGCAAAATGGATCAATTATAGGATACAGAAGTATTCACCTACAGAGTCCCTTTAGGGGAGTGGGCTCCCTCATAGCATATAAAGATTCCATTTATAACCACTCATTATGCACACATTTCAGAAATGCATGTTTGATGGAGTGTAAAACTTTTAAAATGTTATTTTTCCCAAGATGCCTCAAGGCTCAGCAATCCTGCCCTCTACACACACACGCCAAGGTCCTTTTAGGTTCCCTGCTCTGACAATGATGGTCAGGATTCAGAGGAGCCCTTCTGGAGCTGCTGATGTCTATGGCACCCAGACTGAGGGTACTTGGAGCATTATACAAGTGACTATGAGCTTTCTTTATAAGTCACTCACGGGTCAGCTGTCAACTTACTCTTATAGGAGCTCTGCTCCATGGTTTTGCTCAGTGCAAAAAATATTACTCAACTGTAACACCATAATGGATGTAAGGAAGACTAGTCAAAGAGGAGCCACCTCTGAGTTCAAGAGCCTTGAGCTCTAGCCATAGTTTTGACTTTGTGGCAAGGTTAACATGGCCACCAGAGCTGGGATGTAAAGAGCAGAGAGACCATCTGCTGCCTAAAGCCATTCCCCCATGCTACTTATCCCTAGTCAGGTTCAAGGTACAACCTGGTTCTACAAAAAATTCCTTTCAAATCAATTCAATCAGTATTCATAAGAGGACTAAAGATAAACAATTCAGTAAGATAAAACCCCTGTCTTCTCAAAGCTTAGAATCTAGACCTGAAGTTTAAGTCTCATTGCAAAGAGACTCTCTTATATTCTGGCATCAACTTGCTGCTTCTGTTCATGGACTATGCAAGGGAGATGAAATTCCCAGGATGGCTGCCATGATAGCTACTGCAGAAAGGCCAGAGTCACTCACCACAAAGATCTTGGGTATGAAGCCCACGTAGTCCTGCCACGCCACGCACAGGACATAGGGTAGGTATAGCATGAAGTAAATGATGCCTCCACAGGCTGCAGACAGGTTGGCTCTAGAGAAGAGTGTGCTAATCAGGAAGCACTGCAGGATGGTCACTGCCGCGAACACCGACAGGAAGACAAAGACCACACTGGGGTCGCTGTAGGGCAGCAGGTTTCCTAACTGGGAAGGAAGAGACCCATTAAATGTGCAGTCCCTTTCCTCCCAGATTCTTTGCTTCTCTTCTTTTCTTCCCCTAGCTCATGTTGGCTGCTTAGAAATTCTCTGGCAAAGGAGAGCAAGGGAGGTGGCCTTACCTTCAGGATGACCACCAGCAGGCCAGCGCTCACAAGCAGAGGGATGAGGCTACTGATAAACCAGCTAAACCAGAGGATGCCATTGTCCAGGCCCATGATCCGCATGATCTCCTTCAGCCGTGCCTCCTTCTCGTACACTATGCTTTTGATGATCACAGCCACAGAGTAAATCCAGGCCAGTGTCATGAAGAGGGGCATGGATCGGCTCATCACCCGCAGGAAGCTAGAGCCCCAGGGAAAGGTATGGGGAGAATAAAAGACACTTGTGAACCAGAGTCATGGACCAAGGCCACTGAGTCTTTATGCTAGAGAAAGCACAACATTTGGGCCACAGAAGGTAAAGCCCCTGAACTCTGGAATGTACAGGTTACGGAATTCTTCACGAGCAGTGAAATACAATGTTAACTAACACTGTACCAACAAACTAACACCAGGCAAAATTTATCTGGGGGCTTGCTTTAGTAACAAGGTAACTATAAGATTTCATTAAGCTAGAAGTCCTAGAAAACAAAACAAAAAAACCTACTCATTCTCTCATGAAAGTGCAACATCTCCATGGTCATCTCACTATTCACTTACTTAGCAAAATGCATCATGGTGCAGGCATACACCTCAGGTAGCTCTTGTCAGTAAAATTTTAGATTCCAAACTGGACGAGGAAATGCAATGTGCAAAGTAAAAAACACACAGTTTCTGGACCCTGAAATTTGGGGTTCAAATCCTGGCTTTGTCACTTACATACTTACTCACTACACAGCAAGCAAAGGCTCTTAATGCCTCTGAACTCCTATGCCCTCACCTTAAAACATTCTTTCTAGAGTAAGCTTTGACTTGAGAATTTTTAGAAAAGTCTCCCTTTGAAAGATTGTGGCTAATGGCTTTGAAGGTGAAAAATGGGGTAATTTCTGGTGTCCTGGAAAAGCTATGGCCATACCAAGAAATGGTTTGTTCAGTGTAAAACAGAGAACAAATACAAGGAGAGGAACCCAAACCTTCTGCACCCTGATACATGCACCCACACATACACACCAACAGAGGATAAGGGAATTTCCAGAGTTTGGAAGAAACATGACATATTTCAGATGCTTGCAATAACTGCATTTCTTTTCATTGTCTTTTATAAGAAATCATTACATACAAAGGAACAGTTTCTACAAGAACTTGGCAGTTTAGTGGCTTAGCAACAAAAAAAATTATCTAATAAGTTTAAAGATAAAGGGGTTCTGTTCCACTTCATTTGGATGGTTTCAAAATGCTATTCACCATTTAGAAAGAAGTGAATAGATTTACATAAAATCTACTTTTACAAGTCTAGACCACTGCTTCTGTATTTGTTTATGGGGGTATATGTACATGCATGTCTTTGTCATGATTCATCATAAACTTGCAGATTAGGCAAATTTTGACCAGAAGACTAAAGTGTAAAAAATAAAAGTGTATAGGACCAGCAGATGGCATAATGGCTATGTTGCTGAATTCCCATGTAGTTGACTGCAGTTCGAGTTCCGGACCCAGTGGCTTAAACTCATGCCAGGAGCATGTGCATGCATGCCCAAAATCCCAAAAGGAGAATGGAGGAAAAGGGATTGTGGCGTGGCCATCCCCCATTGGGGGTGATTTCTTGCTTTTTGTCTCTCTCTTTCTGTCTTTCTGGCGAGTGCATGCACCCTATAGCAAAAACCTCTCAAAAATTTTTTAAAAAATAAAATAATAAATAAAAGGAGTGGTGAAGGTGTATAAAAAGGAAGAATTACTAGTGCGTGCACTTGTGTGTCTATCTATGGTGTGGAAAACTGCTACCACTTACATCTGGCATCTTATTTTCAGATCATTCATTCATGTACACAAACTCACATTCATTCTCTCTCTCTCTCTCTCTCTCTCTTTCTCTCTTTCTCCACCAAGAAAAATGTTAGCTGGTTAAATAAAAACGGTAGTTTCTGGGTAACTCACATGTCATCAACATAACAGGGATAGGGCATCTGTTGCATGTAGACACCAGTTTTCTTCTGGGTGCCTGTCAGGACCCTAATGATTGCCTGCTCCACCACATCTTGCAAGTAGGTAAAGCCACCCCAGATATACCGCATATCCTCAAAAGGGTCGGCCCGAGGGCCAGGGTCCCAGTACCTAAAACCAAACCACAGGTGATCAAACATTCCTTTCAAACCATATAATAAAAATATCTAATCACCCATAATCCCACCACTCTTACCAGCCTCTTTTTTTATTTTTGTATCTTATTTTCTGGTCTCAATGGACATGTACACATATTTTTTAAAAGAAATAAACAAAATGAGCAAAATACTTGTTGGTTTGTTTTCCCTCCTCCCCTGACTACCTAGTATTGCGCATCAAGTGGACATATAGAAATTGCCCGAACCATTCTCTTTTTATGGATTTTTTTCCTCTTTTCATAAAAATAGATAATGTTAGCATACAGAACCTAGTGTAATTTTTTTCTGTTGACTTAATTCCCTGAAATGACATGCTGAATGAAAAGACACTGGTATTTTATGACCCTGAAATAGTAGCCCCCAGTCATGAATCATGCCACCCATTTGAGCTATTTTTGTTGAAATTCCTACTGAATGATGAAAGTACCACTAGTACACTAATGGTTATTCTTGATTTCCCAAAAACTGGGCTGGTATGAAGACTAGGGGATTCCACTTACTCATCCTTGATTTTATTCGTCCTCTCCACATTGTCAATGTCCATTCGGATCTTGTACTTGACATGATGAGGCAACACCACACTGCCTGGAGCAATTCCAGTAAACACGATACCAGCCCAGAACTTCCTCTCATCCAGTAGCTCCATAGACTTGTTGATGAGCCAGACTTCTGTTGCTATTGGCTCCAGCTTGTTCAAGTTGACACACTGAGAGAGAACAGCACTTAGGAGAACTCTTGTGGCCAGAAAAGCAAGCAGGGGCCAAGAAAGATCCTACTCCAAGAGGCAAGTACTGACTGCATGAATTTTTTATCTTCATTCTCTACTTTCTACAGTAGTGCTCTGATCTTCACACAAAAATGGGTCATCTTGCTTTTTAATTGAAATGTAAGAGAAATGCTGGAAGTATTAGAGACCCATTACTTGTATTGATTTTTGTGGAGGGCAGAGGTTGAAACAACCAGATCTTATTTTTCCTCTCCGTTTTCTCTGCAATTTTGAATCATAGCTACAAACCAATCAAGCACACAGACCAGAATGCCCTTTTATTGGGACCAGCATGTAGTCGATCAAGGTTTGAGTCCTAGACCTGGCAGCTTAAAATTCATGCCAGGTGTGTGTGCGTCTGTGCCCAAAATCCTGAGAGGAGAATGGAGAAGAAAGGATTGTGGAGTAGTGGCCATCCCCCGCCCCTCCCTCCAGGAGGGATGATTTCTCACTTTCTGTCTCTTTGTCTCTGTCTCTCTGATGAGCACATGCACCCTATAGCAAAAATCTCTCTAAAAAATTAAATAAATTTTTTTTAATTCTTTGAAACCCCTTTTATCTATCCCTACAAAGTGACATAGTATTTAGGACTAAATTTTAAACACTGAATCTGTCCTGAATTATATTTTAGATAAGTTTTATAAATAATGTCTTTTTTAAGGGGATGCTTTGTTGCCGTTAGGCACTGTAATGTCAAAACATTACATACTTAGAAGACAATGGACAGAAACACTCCTGAGTCAATACAGAACAAAGCTAGAAATTAGTTTTGTTTATTAGCTCTTCACCCATTCAACTAACATTTATTGAGTGTCCTTTACACACCAACCTGTTAGGCTTGAGAGCTACTACTGTGAATGAAACCTCGTGATTTCTAAACTTTCCTCCTGCCCAAACACAATACCTCAAAGGAAAGAAGCTCTAAGTCTTTTCTATTAAAAGATCCTTACCTCCATGAAGCGAGATATGGTCCGGACAGCCTGGCTAGTCTCATTGAAAGCTTCCCTCCAGGTATACACAGAGCCATTAACAGACTGGACATCTTCTGGATGCTTGGCCAGAAAAGCCATGATGTCTTGGACTGTCCAATCTAAACCATTCAACTGTTGTTCCCAAAAGTGGTCATTGCCTCTGCTATCCAACAGCGTCTGCCATTCCAACAAGAACGTACAAGTAATAAACACTATGTCTTGATGAGCACCATTGTCTCTTTACTTTTACCTTCACAGATAGTTTTAAGGTAGGTAACAGAGTACCTATCTTACAAGTGAGAAGACTGAGTTTAAAAAAACAGAACATGACTTCAACCAAAGCTGGCTCCTAATGGTAATAGGTATAAGGGTGTGGAGCTGAGACTCAGAGTTAGACCAGTCTAAATTCAGAGTCCCCATGCTTTCCACCAAACCAAACAGCTCAGCTTAACGGAGCACCAACAACAACTATTCTGTCTAGCTTCTCTGTTTAAGAATATATATGTTTTACTTTACAAAATCCCTTGGGAGCCTGTCTTAAACATTCCCTGTTTTAGGGATGGGAAACTGAGGTTCAGAGAGGTTAAGTCTTCAGTATTATAGTTACACAGCCAATAAGTAGCAAAACCAAGATATGAAGCATAGGCCCTCTAATTCCAGTGCACGTCCCCTCACTGCACTATATCACCTTCCTCTTTCGAGACTCGGTCTGATGACATAAAAGTCTATCTCAAGACAGAATAAAGACAACCCTACTTTTAGTTTAGAAAAATGATGCTGCTGTTAAACCAAGTAAAATACGATCTTTCCATTTATGAATCAATGATGCAAAGGAGGCCTAGTTTTCATTTCTTGTTCCCTCACCAGTTGCCTCCTCCAATGGGCCAGCAAGAAAGAGAAAGATGCATCTATCTGGTGCTTACCCTGCATATCCAGAGAGGCTGGAACAGGGGCCTGCACAGATGTACTTCCAGGAAACAGGGCAGCACAAACTCAGCAAAAAAAGGGGAAGCGAAGTATCTGTGACTCCCATCACAGCTTCAAGAGGGAAGATGATGCCCTGACTCTACAAACTGGAATCTCCAAGGTCCTGAAAACTGTTGCTTTTTCAAATCAGTCTTATTTTCACTAGCATTATAAGCTTTTTCCCCTTTGTGACTTTGTATTTATTATCTTTATGGGAGCATAATGATTTTATAGAGTATGTATACTATCATCTCATTATTCCTGTACTGCCAAGCATTTAGTCGATCTCCAACTTCTCACAATAACAATTATTATAGCAATAACACGTTCTCTCCTACGATGACTTCTTTAAAATTATTCCTGTAAGATAGATCCCTGGGGGTTTGTGGAATGAAGGTAGATAGGATAGCATATTTTTTATGGTTCCTGAAACTTTCATTCCAAATTACTTTCCAATAGGGAATAACAATTTATATTGTCATCAGTAAGATATGTGTGTATTTTTGTTAACATAATAGATATAAAAGTATACCTCAAAAAAGTTCAGAGGCAGGGTTAACAATATTTTATTTAAATTCTTGAATTGAACGAATAAGAGCAGAGTGAAGATATGTAGCAGTTGGGGCAAGGCCTAAGCAATATAGCCAAGGACAGCAAGACCAGATAGGTATGCCAAGTGAGGTCACTAACCATGTGGCCACTTCAAGGTTCTTAAGGACCAGGAGACCAAAGACCACCCTTGGGAGTGGTAGGCAGGGAGAAGGCAGAGCCTAGATATGAGGGGCCAAGAGCAGCTCAGAAAACAGGAAATTAGTGTCAGAGGATTCTGTGACTCAACAGAGAAGTGCCTCTGGATGCGTGGAATGATGCAATGGTCTACACAGAGCCAGAGAAGAAAGATAAGAGCTACTCCTGCAGAAGCAGAAGCAGAACCAGAAGCAGAAGCCTCAGGCTTTGCCTCTTAGACCAGATGCCAGTTTGCAAAGGGTGCTGAGGACTGAGAAGTCATGCTTGCAGAGTTTAACAGACACTTCTGTGAGAGAGAAGAAAGCAACTGCAGAAGGTTTCCTGACTTCGACCCACAGGCTGCTGAGTCCCTAGTCTGTCTCCAGCGTGATTACTCTTCCTACATGCAGATCCCTACTGCCACCGTCTACTGACACCCCTACCATCCACCCAGCTAGAAATCAAGAATCACTCAGGGTGCCTCACTCTCTTTCACCACTCCATATCCAGTCACCAGGCCTCACCTCCTATATCATTCCAGGCCACTCACTTGGAAAGCCTCCACCCCCATTCCTGCCTTCCCCCAACCATATTTTGTCTCCAATCCATCATATTGGAATAATGCAGCTACATTTCCCCTTACCTAAAAAGCCTTTCACAATCCCCCAGAGTTTAAATTAAAGGTTCTTGGCTTAACACACAAATCCCGCCAAGGCATGCCTTGCCTTTCTCTCCAGTCACTACTCCTCCACTTCCTCTCTCACACCCTGGCTTCTCCAGCTAGATTTCTAATGAACTCACTGCCATGTTTACAAGGACCTTGTCCCATAAGAACTGGAGTTTGTGGGACCAGCAGATGGCATAATGGTTATGTCGCTGGACAACCACAGTTTGAGTCCCGGACTTGGCAGCTTAAAACTCACACCAGGATATGTATGTGTGCCCAAGATCCCAAGAGGAGAATGCAAGAAAAGGGACTGTGGCATGGCTATCCCCCCAGGGGATGATTTCTTGCTTATGACTGTCTCTCTGGCAAGTGCATGTGCCCTATAGCAAAAATCTCTCTCTAAAAAAATAAAAAGAATTGGAGCAACCAAAGCAAGTTATCCATTTAAAGGTAGGGAAGCCTCCATTTGCCTATACATCAAACCCAAAAGGGTGCCCTCGGATCCTCTGAGACCCAAACAGAGAGGAAAAGCCCAACTAGTCCAAACATATATTTCAAGAAGCCGAGGAAGAAAAGGCCTGAGATCACACTATGGTCTACAGTGCTGCCTATAGGGAGACAATATGCATCCCTTATATGGATCGTATTGGAACCCAATAGAGATTTACACTTGAAAGGCATAAATCCATACTAATTACTGTTCATGCTTTCTTACCAAATGCCTTGCTTTTAAAGGCCCCAGTGGAGGAATCCTGTAAATATGTAGCAGAGCTAGTGCAACAAAGGAGACGGCTCCTTCCTCCACTGGAGCCTGCTTTCTCTATAACCTGCCTCCCAGGGGTTAGGGAGCAGTCCTACACTCTGGAAGAGTTTCTCCCAAGTAGGTAGAGGCTCTAAAACCCAGATGTCCTTGGATCAATGAAGTTCAAGACAAGAAACCTAGCCAAACCCTCCCCTGCTTCTTAATGACAGCAGAGACAAAGGAAGAAGCCTCCCTCACCATGGAAATAGGAAATAGTCTAATGACAGTCTGACTCAGTCCAAGGCGGGGAAGATGTGACTAAATGGCACTCAGGCCAAGCAAAGGAAGCATTCTGTTCTTGCCCAGACTGCTCTGTTTTTGAATCCAGTTGTCTGCAGAGCACTTATTCCTTTCAAGTGGCTCAGAAGCACTGAATTTCATTTCCTTCTACACAGTAATGGCATCCCCTGCACTCATGCATGTCTTGGGAACAAACATCTCAAATGTCAGACCATACTTCTGCTTCCACACCTTCTCCAAGGCCTAGAAAAGTTAAATAAGATGCTGAGGCTGGCTCAGAGGCTGGAGTCAGAAATGAAAATAGAGCCTGGTGATCACTAAACTCTACCTCCAAACACCAGCTCTCACTGAGTTTTGCAGAAAACTATATGGGACTACACGAGGCACTGGTTCTGATGGGCAGGGCCATCTCTGCGCCATGGACTCTACTTCTGGAGAAGTGGTACCCCAGTGGCTTGAGCAGTACTCACTACATCTCTACTGATTACATTTAAAATTTCTTATCTCAGTCTCTTCTGGGAATGTCATCAGACACTCGCTTTCTCCAGCATTAAGCAGTTACATAGTAATCAGAGGGACACACACCCGGACAAGATCCATTTCTTGGCTGTTCTCCATGAAGGTCCAGATCTTGGGGCTGACTTCTTCCCACATGCCTTCCAGATCATGGAATACAGCCAGTTCCTGGAAGGTCTTGTTCACCTGAAGTCAGTTGGGGAGACAGGGGCCACAGACAAAGGAGGAAAGGCAGAGACAATGAGTAATTCAGTTGTTTCCTGAAAAAAAGACCCCATCACAGCAGCCCTTTGACAGTTCTCCCTATTCCCTAAGAGATACCAGCCTGTAGCTATGATTCAAATGCCCAGGGCTGAAGAGCTGACCTCCACAGTAAGACTTGATATTCTCATTCTTTGGACCATCCCAGAAGAACCAGAAGTATAAACAGCACACCCCATCCAAGGCTGCCCTCACTTTTATGCCCCTAATCCTAGAAAAATTCTAGGGAGGGAGCCAGGCATGGGCAGCTTACCTCAGCCATAACCTGCCTTGTGACTGGAGTGTCAGGTGTATACAGGATCTTTCCAACAAGCAGGGGCTTGAGAGCTTTCCAAATAATGCGGGAAAGAGGACTGGATTCCAAATTCTTCATCATATCATTGCAATAAGGGGCTGTAAAGAAGATGGGAGACAAATATTTATTCATACCCACGATCATATACTTGTAGGAACTTAGAAGGGCTTTGGAATTAAGCAGGATATCCTGAGTTCAAATCCCAGCCTGTATCATGTAAGAGTCATGGGATGAATGGCTTTACTATCTGAGCCATAGTTCATGCCTCTGCAAAAATAAAATTGATAACAGGTACTTGACAGAGATACAGAGAGAATTAACAGACACATTATCTGGTAAGCCTCTAGAATCATGTATGATATATAATCAGAGTTTATTGTAATGCTGATGATAGATAACTCACAACTAAGATCATCTACAAATACATTTTTACTATGCACAAGACCTCATAATTTCAGACTCACACTCTCAAGTCAACCCTCACCATTCTGCTCCCAACTGAAAACAAGCAGGACTCTTGAGAGGCGACCAGAGAGCAAAAAATCAGATTTTACTTTTTAAGCAAAATCCAAAATGCGTCCTTTAATTAAAAGATCTCACTACAAATCTATTTAATAAAAAGCCAAAACTGAAGAATGCAAAGTGGCGACAGAAACAATTTTTCTAGAATTATTTTATTTATTATTATTATTATTATTATTATTATCATCATTATTTTAAATTTGCTATAGGGCAGGTATGCTCACCAGATAGAGACAGGGAGAGAAAGAAGGAAAGTGAGAAAGCAAGCCACCAGGTGCAGGACTCGACCCGCAGTCAGTCATGCGGGAGTCCAGAGCCTTAACCACCATGCCACCTACTGGCTTCATGAGACAAGTGAGTTTGATTATCCAGAAGGACCCTTGATTTTTAAAAATTTTTATTCTAGGTGTGTCTTTTTTTTTTCCTAAGGTAGTAAATATCTGCTTAACACTTTTCCAAAAGTTCACAGAAAATATTATTATGACAAAACGAAAAATGTATTTCAAATATTTTTGTACCAAAATAAACTCAGGCTTTCATTCCATTTCATATGAACATTTTAAAGTCCCCTCGTATGCTACAAAGATAATAGAATTTTTTTTTAAAAAGAGGATTTGCTCACAATTATATTGCACACACACAAAAAAAGGCTGTCTTGAGTTGACTGGCAAGCTGGGGAAGAAGAGATGCATATCATAAAGTTGCCTGACATGCCATTCTCTTCAGGCTTTTAAAGCAACTTGCAAATGTCTGGAGTGCTTTGCTCCAAAGAAGAATAAAAGGCTCTCCTGTTACAATAATGTACAAAAAGCTGCCTTAGTCAACATCTGAAAGACACACCTGCGGCTGGAAATAGAGAAAGGCTCACTTGCATCATGTTTTCAAGGAAAAGGATGCCATTGTCTAAAACTGTAACACGGGCTTCCTGCTGCCACGGGCACAGGAGAAACATTGCCACCAAACTCCCAGGTGTGGGGAGCAGAAATGGTGTTACAAGGTTCTTTAACACTGCCTTGCAGCTGAGAACGAGACACAAACAATGTCTAGTTCAAATGTCCTAATGTGATAGTACACACATCACCATTACTACATATTTTCAAGGCAGTATGCTTTACTGGAAGAAGGACAGAGCCAGGAGAATTTGAGCTTGAATCTTGGCTCTTGTGGATTCACTATGATGCAGCTTTGACCAAGTCACTTAATCTCTCAAAGCCTATGAAAGGTAGGGTAACAGATCCTTCCTTGCAGGGTTATCATGAGGCTAAAATGAGATAACTTAAATAGAATGCACAGTACACACAGGAAATTTCACCTACATGTTAGCTTTTGTTGTTATTGTTATTATTGTTATGGATTTTTAAATTTTTATTATAAAGCTTATCTCAAGGATAATTATTAATAGTAATAATAATGATAAAAACAAAAGACTAGCATCTCATTCTTTCAAAAAAAGTTTCCAGCTTTATTGAGATATAATTGACAAATAAAACTGTACATATTGAGGGACCAGCAAATGGCATAGTGGTTACATTACTGGACACCTACATAGTCAAATGTGGTTCGAGTCCCAGACCCAGCAACTTAAAATGCAAGCAGGGTGTGTGTGTGTGTGTGTATGTGCCCAAGATCCTGAGAAAAGAATGGAGGCGAAGGGATTGCAGCATGACCATCCACCCCCCAGGGGTGATTTCTTGCTTTCTATCTGTCTCTGCATTCCCAGCAAGTGCATACGCTCTTTAGCAAAAATCTCTCTTAAAAAAAAATTATTCATGGTATGTGATGTAATGTTTTGACAGATGTATACATTCTGAAAAGTATATAGCAAAGTATTAACTATAATCAACATGCTGTAGATTAGATCTCCAGAATTTATTTATCTTCTAAAGTTCGTGTCTTTTAACCAATATATTCCTTTCCGCCTACTTCTCAACCCCTGGTAATCTCCATTCTACTCTCTGCTTTTGTGAATTTTTTTTATTTATTTATTTTTTAGATTCCATATTTAAGTGAGATCATGCAGGATTTGTCTTTCTGCCAGCCTTTCATCCTTGATTACCTTGACAGCGACCTTCTAACATTCCCTATAAAACTGGGGAGACTGGCTTTTGATCAATTATTTACTACCATGCACCTAAGATGTGCCAGGCTCCATCCAAAGAACTGGGGACAGTTAGCTGATTAAGAAAAGACTCTCTCAGAACCAGCAGGTGGCATGGTGGTTAAGGCACTAGACTCCAACATAGCTAACCATGGTCTGCATCCCAGACCTGGCAGCTTGCTTCCTCTCTCTCTCTCTCTCTCTCTCTCTCTCTCCGGTGAGCACATATGCCCCATAACAAATTTTAAATAATAATAAATTATTTTTTAAAAAATGAGAAGACTCTCTTGGCCCAACTACAGTGGCACGCTTTGCTAAGACTTGGTGCTCCATAGGCTGTAATCTCATGGGAAGCATAGGTTCAAATCCTGGTCCAACCTAAAAGTGGGTACAGTGGCATGTGCCTATAATCCCAGCAATTTAGGGAGGTTTTGGCAGGATTATGATCTCAAGGCTTGCCTAGGCAACATAACAATTTTAATTTCTTATTTTAGGTGTGTGGTTTTTGGGTTGTTTTTTTTTTTTTCTAATAAAGAGAGAGAGAAGATGAGACTCTCTCCTCTAGGGGCTCAGCCTGGTGGGCAAATGGCAAGTAGAAGTCTACTGCTGCTACAGAGGGAGGCTAAGACCCAGAACTACAGCAGGGATGGCTCTCTCTCTCTCTCTCTCTCTCTCCGGTGAGCACATATGCCCCATAACAAATTTTAAATAATAATAAATTATTTTTTAAAAAATGAGAAGACTCTCTTGGCCCAACTACAGTGGCACGCTTTGCTAAGACTTGGTGCTCCATAGGCTGTAATCTCATGGGAAGCATAGGTTCAAATCCTGGTCCAACCTAAAAGTGGGTACAGTGGCATGTGCCTATAATCCCAGCAATTTAGGGAGGTTTTGGCAGGATTATGATCTCAAGGCTTGCCTAGGCAACATAACAATTTTAATTTCTTATTTTAGGTGTGTGGTTTTTGGGTTGTTTTTTTTTTTTTCTAATAAAGAGAGAGAGAAGATGAGACTCTCTCCTCTAGGGGCTCAGCCTGGTGGGCAAATGGCAAGTAGAAGTCTACTGCTGCTACAGAGGGAGGCTAAGACCCAGAACTACAGCAGGGATGGGGACAGGGCTTAGTCTGCACAGGCACTCACTTGTAGAGTTGTCATAGAAAGTGTCAGCATCTTCATCGGTGCCGTTGCCTCCAAACAGGGCTTTGTAGTTGTTGTCCTCATACCAGTTGAGGGACTTGATCTTCAGCCCACCCCCCTCGGGATGGCCACAGACGATGCGGGACACAGCCTGGTATATCTGGGTGGAAGAACTGGAGCTGTTCACGTTGGTCAGAAACATCACCTCCTGCCGCATGTCACTCCAGCTCCTCATGGTGAACACCTGGGAGTGGGGATGGGGAGGAAGAGAAGCAGAAGTGGGGGGGCAGGACAAGGGTTGGAGACAGAGAAGAAAAACATTATTGTTAATATTCCTTGACTTCTTGAAACCTATGTCCCAGAACACATTTTGTCTGGCATCATTTTGAAGCCTATGATAGGTTCTCCAGAACCCTCACTATCCTATTTGTGGTTTGGAGACTAAGAAAATCAGCTCCTCTGCGAGGTTGTTTAAAATGCAAATTCTGAGACCCTTCTGCTGATGTGTGGAATTCAAACCTGTATTTTCACAAAATACCCAGGTGATTCCTAGGTCCATTAAAGTCTGAGAAGCACAGCCTAGAAATCAGTGGAGGCCCTGGAGATCGGCTTCATTTCCCTGGGATTATCTTCCAGCTTATAGGAGCGAATGCTTTCTCTGAACAGCTAGCTTTGACTGTGAGTCTACAGGGAACTGTTCCCATCCCTGATCCCTGACCCCATTCTAAAACACTCCTAACTTCTGTGTAGAAACTGGTAAGTCCTCTTCCCCTTGGAAGAATTATGCAGTGTAGTAAAGCCCTATCCTGGGCTTGGCTGTGTCATGCAATGGAAAAGGTGTAAGGTGGGAGACCTGAGCATGAATCCTGGCTCTGTACCCCATTAGCTTACAGCCCTAAAATAGTTATGGCATATCTTTGAGGCCCAACATCTTATCAAGACAACTAAGCTAAAACAGACAGTGATGACAAGTGAATCACACAATACACAGAAGAATGCCCTGCATGGAACAGCTCTGAGCAGGGTAAGTCAGAAGCCCCAGGCAGCCAGGGACTCTGTCTGTGACTTACAGTCAACAAGACTCAATGACACAGACAGTGCTTTGTCTCAAATACAAATGTACTCCAGCACCTTGTGGATTTCTTGGCCAAGTTGCTCTTATTAAATATTTATAGGGCACTTTGCGTTTCCACACATTTCATAATAAATCATTAATTAGTTTCTATATTCCTTGAACGTCACTGCATGTTTTCAGCACCTGGGAAGACTGAGTCATGGAGAGCAGAGGCGAGAGGCAGCAAGAACCCACACATATCCTGGAAAACTCCAGGTGTCCAGCTTTCTATCTCACAGAGCCAAGCCTGCTGGTACATAAGAGTAATACAGTCCTGGACACCGTGGGTCCTGACCTTTGCCTCTGTCTCCAGACAAGAACGAGGCTCTCATATGTCACAAAGATTGTTTTCCCTCTAGAGCGGGAGCATCTAGCATACTCTACAAGAACCCAATGTGGAAAACAGTTTGTCCTCACTTCACCTTCTCATGACCTGTCGAGGGATATGGACACAGAGGGGGAAGGGAACCTTTACTTTTGTTAGACAATAGAACAGCCCAGATTTTACAGTGATAACGAGTAAAAGTCACTTATCTCTCTTTCCACAAGCTGCTTGACCACCACCATCCAACCAAAAGAACAACTTCTTCCCACATAAAATCAACACAGCTTTGGATAGAGGTACCAGAAATTCCTGAGTTATTTCAACATTTGGCTCTTCCTAGCACCTTCCTTAAGTCAACTTCTGGTTCTTCTACACCTCAGTTTTCTCCCCTATTCATGGGGAAAGGTGGCCATTCATGCTCCAGGCCAAGAATGGTGATGGTGCTTGATAATAATCTGAGTTAGTGAATGGGTAACTGACTGCTTTCTCTCTATACTGCAATGGGTCCTCATCTTCCCTTGCCTGTACCCTAGTCTTCTCAACCCAACAGCCAGAGTGTAGACAGGCTATAAACTCTAGGTCATATAATGTTTCCATCTGCTCCAAACTATCCACTGAGTTCTCATTTCAGCATAAATCCAGAGTTGTACCAAGCCTGTATGCCACTCACCTCTTCCTGCTCTAACACTTTATCCTGCTACTCTCTGGCCACCATGGCCTCCCTCCTTGTCTTTAAACACACTCCTAAGTGTGCTCAAGCACAGCAACTTAATATCTTCTGTTCTTCCTACTTAGAGTTTCCTTCCCTCTCCATAGATACATGGTCACCTCCTTTGGTTTCAACCATCTTATCAGAGAAACTCTCCCTAATACCCCCCTTAAAATAGCACCTTATCACTCCCTATCTCCCACACCCCACTATATTTTTCTTCACCGTATGTGCTGTCATGTTGAACTGTGTATTTCTTCTACCTCATCCCCAGTCATGTGAGCCCCATGGGGACAGGGAAGTTAGTGTGCATTGCTGAGTCTTCAACATCTAGTAACACTGGTCATCCAGTTGGTGCCGGGTAGGTATCAGAGATGCTGCCTCCCTGTCCTGCCTTCCCAAGGCATGCCTTTCTCATCATCCAGATGTGAAATTCATATCAGCTTTGCCTTATCCGGCTTCAAAAGACCCCTTTTCCACCCAATTGTCAGGACCTGCTAGGTGAATCATTTCCATCTTTGAATGATATCCTTTCTATTCCAGTTACCATTAGAGTTCATCACAAACCCTTGTTAGAAAGAAAAAGCAAGAATAGGAGCTGTGAAGCCTAGAGAGCCTGGGTTCAAATGCCAATGAACTTACTAGGTGACTCTGGGCAAGTTGCTTAACTTTCCTAACCCTCCGTGCCATCTGTAAAATGGGTGCACATGACACACTTAAGGTTTGCCATGTGCTGCAAAGGGTAAAACGGCTGAACCAAAGCAGCTTCCAGAAAATGTTGGTTCCCTTTCTCTTTCCAAGAGTTACACTTTGATCAAAACAATCAACTTTCTTTCTAAACATTGACCAAACAAGTGTATTTATTTATTTTCTCCCATTTGTCTCAAAGAAATAGCTAAACGACTTAAACAATGAGTGACTTGTAATTAAAGTGACTTGATGGTACGCTACTGAGAGAAACAGGTGGTCCTTGTTCATCCTGGACCAGGAGCATGGAGGGCATGAGACACAGCTGCCCAGAAGGATGCTTATGGCTTAGCTGGCACGTTTCTCCCACATCGGCCATGGGAACAGAAAATGTTTCCAATTACTTTTTTAATCCAAGACAAAGGTGGGCCAGTGACTTAAGAGAAAACAGCAGTAACCAAACCCTAAATTTAGAGGCAGCCTCCCATGTTACAGTCTCTGCTTTACTTTCTCTACAGTCAGAGATGAACAAGGCAGAAGAGGACTGGGAGGGAACCCGCCAAAGTAATGCAGGGCATGTCAACGTCAGCCAACAGGGCCTTAGAGCAATAGCCACAAATGTGCAGAGAAGTTTCTCTTTCTCTTTCTACCTTCGGGATGAACCCGGGTGGCCCAGCTTCTCCATCTAGGACAATATCAAGAGCCTTCATAAAGGTAGTAACAAATGACAGGCTTGAAAACAGTCTCCTCTCCTGGGAGGTGAACAGAGAATGAAGTCTCTTCACTCAGCGACAATGAATTACATTAGACACAGAATTCGAAGAAGAGAAAGCGGGTGCAATGATGCACACCTGTAATCCAGCTACTTGGGAGGCTGAGGCAAGGAGACAGAGAGCTTGCAACCAGCATGGGCAACACAATAAAGCACTGTCTTTTCAAAAAACTGAGAGATAGGTCAATCGATCGATAGATGATAGATAGATATAAAGAAATACACTAAAGTATCAATAGTGTTTAATCTCAGTGTTTTCAGTATTTTCCAAATGTTCTGCATTTTACACATGTAATATAATTTTGTCAGATTACATAAAGTACATTTGCATATTTGAAAGAAATGACATGTACTAGCACCAAAACTGGGTGCATTACATACAAGCACCCAAAAAATGAAATAGAGAAGTGGCTAAAATGAAACCTGAACCAAAATTGAGAAAATTTTCCCCCCAAGTTATTTTTAAAGTCCTATACATTAAAGTCTGCATTGTTCGTGGCTCAAGTCCATGTGCATGAAGTCTCCGGCCAGTTCTTCTTTTTCAAGCCTAGTTTGAAACAAGGCAGGAAGTTGGAAAGGTGGAACACACACTGGCTGGGAGTCGGAGGAAGGCTAACTTTGCGAACACTACAGCCTCTCTGATCCTAGAACAAATATCGCTCTGATACATTCAAAAGCAAGTAGACCTAGAAGGCAAACACATTCTCAAAACTGAAGCTCTGAAGCCAGATGTTTACAAGGAAAAGAACCAAATTAGGGGTACCATGCTATTCCCTTTAGTAAGCAATCACGTGTTCAGTAAAACAGTTGTCTTGCTAGTGAAGAGACAATATGGAGAAGTTACCAGTCAAACAAAAGCAGGACATGAAGGATGAATGAGAAAATTCTCTTTACAAATATGTGATGACTTAGGGACAGAGAGAAGTAACAGGAGAAAGTTCTAGACTAGATAATGGCATTTAACAGCTAGTTGAGTCTTGGCTGTTCTTTGTTTTTTGGGTCTTTTTTTTTAAGAGAGATTTTTGCTATAGGATGTACGCACTTGCCAGAGAGAGAGAGAAACAGAAAGCGAGAAATCACCCCTGGGGGGATGGACACACTACAAACCCTTCTCTTCCATTCTCCTCTTGGGATCTTGGGCACAAACACGCACCATCCAGCATGAGGTTTTTTAGATCACTTATACATCTAAAACGAATACTACATCTTACATGACATTCAAATAAAAAAGATACACTTAGTCAACTGAGAATTGAAAAAAGTGAGCATGTGGTTGACATTCTAGTGTTAGAAAGATACAACTTACCTCTTGGGCCAGAGTCCCAAGACTCTGCAGCAAAGTTTTTGTGGCTTCAGCCAGTTCCTTGCTCATGACAGGAGATGTAGAGTTGAGTCCTACCTGGAATGAGAAAAAATACTTTGTTTCTGAGCTCAAATGTAAACCTGAAATCTCTATTAGAAGTTAATTAAAACTATTTATGATCTGTTTAAATGGTATAAGAATCTGTATAAAAGAATACTTCAGGGACCAGCAGTTAGCGTAATGGCTATGTCACTGGACTCGCACGTAGTTGACCGCGGTTTGTGTCCTGGACCTGGTGGCTTAAAACTCACGCCAGGCACATGTGCGTGCATGCCCAAGATCCCAAGAGGAGAATGGAGGAGAAGGGATTGTGGTGTAGCCATCCCCTCTGGGGGGTAATTTCTCGCTTTCTATCTCTGTCTCTCTCTCTCTCTCTCTCTATCTGTCTGGCGAGTGCACATGCTCTATAGCAAAAACCTCTAAAAAAAAGGATATTTCATTAGTTCATAAAAAATGGAATTATGATGCAAAAAATTCTTAAATCTATGCATTGTTTTTCCATAATGTTCATTTTCCATGAACACTTGAAGATTCTTTATATAGTTAAAACCAGTTAATAAGCAATAAGTAAGAATATCTCACGTGGACTATGTGTGTATATGTGTGACCAATATAACTGACCACAATTCCCAAATCTATGATTCTGTCAGACAGACAACATGAGAACAGCCTCAAGAAACAAGTTTGTGATGGTTAATAAGAAAGGAAGAAATTATACAGTTTAAAGCTGTCATCAGCAGGGAAGAGGGAATTCTTTCCCTCTGTTCAAGTCAGCATTTTTTTTTTTTTTTGGAGAGGTTTTCACTATAGGTTGCGTACACTCGCCAGAAAGACAGAGACAGAGAGAGACAGAAGGCGAGAAATCACCCACCAGGGGGATGGCCACGCCACGATCCCCTCTCCTCCACTCTCCTCTCGGGATCCTGGGCACACATGCACAGGAACCTGGCGTGAGTTCAAGCCACCGGGCCCAGGACTCGAACCATGGTCGACTACATGGGAGTCCAGTGACATATCCACTACGCCAACAGCTGATCCCAAGTCAGCACTATTTCTAACAAACACTGAAAATTTAATACAGAATAATTATTTCGTGTCTAGCTTTACTCCGATCTTTCTATTTTCTAGTTCCTATATTTAGTTGTTGTAATATACCACTTCACTGCACAGTAAATATAAGAATAATTAATTAGGAAAAAAAGATAAACTAAGGCAAGAAGGCTAAGTTAAAGAAGGAAAAAAAAAATGATCCACAGGTTTTAAGGCTAGAATGTCTATAGTAGAGGGGCCTCAAATCTGGTGCGGAGTTTTCAGGTCTCTGGAGAGAAAAAGATATAAAGGGTCTGTTTGACTGTTCTTATTTGTCAAATAAGGAAAAAACCAAGAGTCCTCCCTTGGTGTTTCTATAGGCTTTGCAATAGTCAAGATCAAACCAGATACCTCTGGAGTCTAGAGAAGGCTGGGCTATTTTGACACTCCTATGATAGCAGAGATTGCGGTAAAATTACAATGCAGATCACCCAGAAAATGACGGGAAGGGGATGGGCTTCACTATCTCTGAGAAACAACAGCCTAGGATGTTTTTAAAAGAATTCCCAATGCAGAAGAGATTAATTTAATATCATCATGATCATAACATTTAAAATGCCTAATTTGAATGTACATTTCTGAGAAAAGTCTGTCTAAAGTTTCTATGAAAAACAAACAAACAAACAAACAAAAAAAAACTTGCCCTGCCTGACTCCTGAGCTCTTCTAGAACAGAACAGCTTATTCCTCAGAGACCCAGCCTTCCTGCACTCACTGTCCTCTGAGGGACCTACAGTCTCTCTTAAATGTTATGCTCAGGTAGGTCTCTGCGATACAGCTTGCAGACTGTGTTAACGATTCTTCCCTCCACAGAAAGTAATTCATGAGTTGGGACCAGGAGTTGGTGTAGTGGGTGTGTTGCTGAACTCCCACGTAGTTGACCATGGTTCAAGTCCTGGACCTGGTGGCTTAAACTCACACCGATCACATGTGCATATGTGCCCAAGATCCCAAGAGGAGAATGGAGGAGAAGGGATTGCAGTGTGACCATCTCCCCAGGGGTGATTTCTCACTTTCTGTCTCTCTGTCTTTCTGGTGAGCATACACGTCCTATAGCAAAAACCTCTCCAAAAAAAAAGAAAGAAAGAAAGAAAGTAATTTATGAGCAAAAACAAGTGGAGCATTGTCATCCTTTCTTCCTGTTCACTACATAACTAAAAGTTACAATAGGTAAGTCTGCAGAGAATTTGCAGTAAGGAAAACTTTAACAAACCGGGAAATCTTAATTGAGAGCTATAGAAGGTAAAGTGTTTTTATGTTTATCATGAGACCCTCAAGATGATAGATGTTCAGAATTGTATTATTATTTATTTTTTAAAAAAAAGGACAAAACATGGGACAGCAGGTGGCATACTGGTTACAGCTCTGGACTCCCACAAGACTGACTAAAATGCAAATCCCAGACCCAGGGGCTTGAAAATCATGCAGATGCATGTGCATACATGTCAAAAATCCCAGGAGGAGAATGGAGAAGGGATTGCAGTGTGGCCATCACAGGGGGTGATTTCTTACTTTCCTTCTCACTGTCTCTGTTTCTCTCCAGAAAGTGCACATGCTCTATGGCAAAACTTTAAAAAAAGGATAAAACAAAAGAAAAAATTGACATTTAACGTAAATTTTTCAAACTTAAAAATGTAGTAGTTAATTCACTTCTTTTATAAACTCTGAAAAGAAATAAGATTTTGATTCTTGTTACTCACCCTGCCCTGCCTCCCCAACACCCCTCTCCACTCCTATTCTCTGGTTTGGGGACCTGGATTGGCGACAGAATCCTAGACAAATGACTCCCATTCCCCCATGACTTCCTAAAATGTACAGCAGAGTTAATAATGCACACATACCACAGAGTTTTTCCAAACTTTAAATCAGAGTACATGTATAAAACACCCGCATAGGACCTGGCACTAAGTCTTCATGATCACAGAAAATTTTACCTGTGCCTTTTTCTCATTCCTCAAATGTTTACCACCAAAATTAGAGGGTTCCTGTCTGCAAACAGGGTTTCCCAGTTCTTAAAAAGACCAACATCCTTCCTCTGTTTCCTGGCTAACTCTCACATTTTGTCCTATTGAGATGTCCTCCCTCTTCTGGGAAAAAAGGTAGAATTGTCATCCTAGAAATGTTCTCAATATCTATTTGTGAAACAACAGATAGTGTTAACTGAATGAAACAGATACTTACACACACACAAACTATTACAATTTTAGTATATGTTTAGTGTACTTGCTGCTTTAGCACTTATTTTATATATGTGTATGCATGTATAGGTATATGCATGTGCATGTCTACATATATAAATACATGTATCTCCCTCTCACACACACTTACTTGCCCCAAAGTGGACATCTAAATGGAAAAACTCATTATCCATGACTATGTACACTACACACACACACAATCCTTATCTTAATATATACTCATGTGTACCTTCTACTAATAGCATGTGATGTTGACTTTATTTTTATTGCAGTTTCCTTTCTAATTAAATGTACTTATCCAAAAGAAGTGGATTTGTTAAAAAGAATATTCTAAATAAAAATCATATAAGCTGCTCTTGAATATGACCAAAATCATGGCAGAGGACTGAAAATGATTCAAAAACATGGTGTGGGGACCGAGAGATGGTGCAATGATTACGTCACTGGACTCCCACATAGTCAACAGTGATTGGAGTCCCAGACCCAGTGACTTAAAAACTCACCGCAGGCACATGTGGGTGTGTGCCCAAGATCCCAAGAGGAGAATGGAAGAGAGGGATTGCGGCATGGCCATCTACCCTGGGGGAAGGGGGTGTTTTCTCACTTTCTGTCTCTCTGTTTCTCTCTGTCTCTCTGGTGAAAAAAAAACACACCCCCAAAAAAAAAAAAAAAAAAAAAAAAAAAAAAAACCTTCTAAAAAAGCAAACACACACACACAGTGTGGTCTGTCTTGGGAGCTCCTGCATCAGAATAAATGATTAACTTTTCAAAAAGAATATATCTTCTCCAGCTGAATAAATGTACATCTTTATAGGCAATGATCTTTGGGGTAAGCTTATTATTACTGCTTTACAAGCTCCGCAATTCAGCAAAACTTCATGCACATATCAGAGCCTACTGCATGACTGTTCAACCCACAAATTTCTTGAATAGACTCTAAAGTAAGCATGTCAAATGATGAATGATGGTACATGGGCATTCCTTATGTTATTCCCTACATTTTTCTGTATGTTTTATATCTCACAATTTTATTTTTAATTCAACAAAAGAGAAGAGAGGAGAGGAGATTTAGAAGGAAGAGTAAAGAATAAACATTGGCTTGAGTACATATCAGACCTAAAAGATGTCTAACTGTCTTGAATAAAATTAACCCCAGGAAATAATTCATCTTGAAACTAGACCACAAAATGAAGTCGGAGGACCATGTGTTTACACTTATATAACTGTGGTCTCCTGCTCATACGTACAAGATAAAGGCAGACAAAGCTTGCCAAGTCCTATTTCCAAAGAGCTCCAGTAAACAATTCACAGCTTGAAATTCCTGCTCTTACTTTCCCAAACCAAAAACATTTTCCGGGCTGTATGAACGCATAAATGTCCCTAATATACATAGGAGGCAAATGGTTTTATTATATGAAGTAAGGACAGGGGGGAAAAATCAAGAAAATAAAACCTTTAGTGAGGGACTGTACTTTCTGTGGTAAGCTAAGAGAAATTCATGAATTATTCAATATTTTAGATCATAACTAAAAACCATAATATCATCAGAGGAAGAATACACAAATGCTCATTGTATTCATCAAAAGCTCCCTTCCACTTCTGGAAAATGTGTTAATCACCACATAGCAACATTTCCTAAAAGCATGACAGTGTCGCAGAGTCACAAAGGCCATTGTGTCCCATCCTTCCTGGGTTTAACAGAATGACATTATATTCTTTCTATCCTCATTAGCTTAGTTAAAGAACCTAA